GAGCTGTGTAAGCATTCTGTTAAATGGATGTTGGAAAAATAGTTTGGGAAATGGGGATTTATATAAGAGCTTCAAAACAAGAAATATATTTTAGAAAATGCAATGGGCTATCAATTTTAGTGAGAATCTTTTGTTGTTATTGTCACTCAGAGTGATTTGTATCAGTCCTAAGTCCAGAATACTCCCAATAAAAACATCCTGAAACAATTTATTAAAATTTTTGTACTAACATTGTGTAAATAGATGAATTTTCTCATTATAGTTACTTTATTTTCCTGGTAGCAAACTGAGCTTCAAAGAAATATCCCCAGAGTCAGGTGTAGAAGCAGAAATCTGGGACCTAAACTCTTTCTCCTAATTTCATTGATCTTAGCAGAATGTCTGACCAACTTATTTGTCTATTTTAAGACTTGAAGAATGGAATGTAACAAGTGGATATTCTATTCTTCAAAACAAAAAATAGCTATAAAGTTTTTTGGGTCTTGTATGACTACAAATTCATGCTCTGGTAAAATATATGAGCTGTGGTTCTTTGTAGAGGCAGAAGTTTTAATGTCAGAGTCCCTATTTCCAAAGTAATTCGCTGCTTGTGGAGTGAGTGTGTGTGTATGTGTGTGTGTGTGTGTGTGTGTGTGTATGTGTGTGTGTGTGTAGAGGGTGAGATGGGGTGGTCTTCTGACCTTGAGGCAGCTGCCACGGTCAAGCTCAAGTATCAGCCAGAGCAGCTGCAAAGTTAATCTACCAAATAAGGAAACATTTATTTGGAAATTCCTGCTCCCTAAACAGATCCTATTAAATGGTTTGGACAAATTCTTCCACCCAAGGCCACTAAACCTCCCTGAGAAGAAAGAAAGGGGAACAGAAACATTACCGCTCCCACTTCTGAAAAAATCTACTTGCCTCTGACATTCCCATAAAATACCCAATTGTCCATGGGGGTGGGATGGGAATGGAGGCAGTCCCTGTGTTAACACCCAGGTGTAATTTTCATGTAAATAGTGTAGGAAGAGGAAGGGCAGCAGATGGAAGCAGATTGAACCAGGCATCCCCAGGAAGTGAGGCTCATAGAGACTGCTTTCCAAGAGAAGCCAACCTGTATCAAAAAGTCTTCCCCACCATATTATTGTCCTGTGTTCTGAGGTTAACTAGGCCCTGGTGTAGTTTTTTTCAAAGTAAAATTTAAAATTAACACATGACATAGGTCAAATATCATTTCCACCAAATTCTTTGCATTGACTGACTATATAGCAGTCATGGCCCAGAATGGTGGAACTTAGAGGGCAATTTTGTAGCTAAAGACCAGTTCATGTAAGAGGCTTTGCATAGTTTGACCTGTGATCTCCTTCACAAGATTTTCTGGGAGGAATGGGGAGTGAACAGTTTCAAAGTGAATCCTGCAGAAGGATGTCTTCTATGAGATCTAACTTGATATAGGGCTGAATTCAAACCTAGTTGAGAAATTATTTTTTCTTTGAGAATGAGAATGGGAAGGCAACAATGCTCTTCTAATCTATAAAAAGCAAAGTCCCCATTCCCCACTGGTGGAGGGAATTGATGTCTAGTTCTTGCCATGACCAGCTGCTAACACACAATCTGCCTATGTGATTAGGTGAAGAGAGAAGGTACATGATAAAGTAGAGATTGCATGAAATCACAGGCAGCAAAAGTAAAGGCAGGTGAATGGCCATGAGGAAAGCACCTGGTAATAGAACACTGGTCTTAAAAGCTTTGCAGTCTGGCTGATGAGGTCTGAAGTGAGTTTACAGATGAGCAAGTGAGCTGACATGCTTCTGAGTTTCTGAGGCAACCTCATTCCCTGACATGGGACCAGTGAATCAAGGAGAACTTTATATCACACTGTAACTGTTCAGGGGAAGACTAATGATTAAGTATGATTTTCCAACAAGCTAACCTTGCATTGGACAAATACTAATTTAGTGAGGTGATGAAGGTGTATCAGGCCTGCAAAAAGTTCAGAGGACAGGAGTCTGATACTTTGATGAGGTCTCTATCGATCTGTTCATATCTTTTTTCATGGATCAAAGAGTGGTACTCCATCATAAACAGATTTTCTTCTCTATGTGTCAGGCCCTTTCTCAAACACCAAGAACTACACAAGCACGGTTCTTTACAAAACTGAATGTCAATTCACCCTACCTCCCCTCGTCCCCACTTGCCTCACCCTCATCCCACCAAACAGGCACATGAATGTCAGTATACATGACATGGGCTCAGTGGATGGCAGACAAGAAGCATGACTCTCCCCCTGCAGACTCAGAGAAGTATTACAAGGATGTATGGCAACCAAGCCCAAAACCTGACTTCTCAGAATGTAAGCTAGACTCTGCAGACAATTATTCAGATCCACATTAGATTATTCCAGTAACACATGGAGTTTTCTCTCTCCCCTTTTGCCCCACTGAGTCCATGGCCAATACATCTTCCCACTATTCTTCCACATAAACAATGACAGCAGGAGGAGGTAAGCACCTGAGCAGACTATAGGGGCACAGGTTTCTGGCTAACTATTAACCAGTGGGGGCAGATCCCACTCACACACAGTTAAAGACATGACAGGAATCCACAAAGATCCCACTGCCTTTGCTGAGAAGACAGCTAATGAGGCAAAAAGGAACTGTATGATGGGAACTTCCAGAAGAGTCAGTGTCAACCCTGTAAAAAGTCAACGAGCCAGAAATAGCTGAGGCTTTTCAGCACAGTCACCCTGAATTGCTTCTGAGCTATAGGCACAGGGAGCTGGGTCTCAGGTCCAGCAGGGTCATTTACTAAAAGTTCATGGGGTTTGAATCTTTAAATATAATTAATTAAACTGGTAACATTCAAAGGATTATTAAAGGAGTAAGATGTCAGTCCCTGAGCAAACCTCCCAACAGTAATCAAGAAAAGGATTGACTATGAGAGAGGTGTCTTAAAAATAACCTGCTGTTTGTTGGCTTTATGACTTTTCTCTGGCTCTAATTCTTTATGGCTGGTAAGTGAACATTGATCTCTGACTCTTCACTCATTCAGATCTCTCCTGGCTGCAATCCCCCTGACATTGCTGTACCCAGGGAACCTTTATTTTAGGGCTCCTCTCTCCCACGACAGACTGTAGAGTCTGAGGGTTCAAAGACAACTGAGAAATCACCTAGTCCAACTGCCCACTAGACCACGAATTGCCTATGTATCCCCAACAGGAGTCATCCGGCCACCTCCTGGGCCCCTCTGGTGTAAGCAGATAAAATGCTGCTACTTAATCTATGGAAATTCCCACAGCATCATGGATGCCTTTTGAAACTGTTCCCCCCATTAATGGCCATTTGGAGGGCCCATTGTTACTGGATTACTGAATAATTGCCCACGGAGTCACTTCTGAATCAGGATTCCCTCCATGCAGGATTAGATAATGGAGCAATTCTCCTCAGGAAGCTGTCATGAGGTGATTGCACTGTGGGAGCTCCATGCCACAGTATTGTCTAGGAACTTGGATCTTTTTAGGTGGCTGAGCCTCAAGGTGGGGAGAAATTCATCTCTGGGCCTACAGAAGAGAAACATGATAAAAGAAACTACATGAGATGTTAGTCAAGGGAAAAGAAAATGTTTCCTACCCATTAAAGTAAAAATCAAGCACTGAATCTGACTCCAGATGTAGTGAAGTATAAGAAAAGCCAAAAGTGCTAGGCAGATTGCTAACTCCTGTGAGGAAACAAGAAGAAAACTTCACTGATATTATCACAAATAGTTTTCCCAACATCATTCAGAAGGACTTTTCATTTTGGTTCAGAGCCCTATTTTGTGCTCCTCACAGGATCTGTTCAGAAAACAGCTCCTCCTCATTCAACTTCCACTAAAGATGTAAGAATTCCCAGAAACTTTCTAAGAATAATCAAAGTCCACTCCATTTTTTAAACCTGAAATCCACTTCAAAAGTTTTCCTCAAACCAAACATTTATTTTTGTCATTTTCATCTGTGAAAATAAATATATGGCACAAAAGCCTGTTTGTTACTTTTAATTTTCCAAACTCATTTGGTTTTTTATCTCATGAAATGAAGGTTCACTTGAGCAGATACAGTCAAGATAGTAGCTAATTTTCTAATTTTTGAAAAAATGTTGTCTGTTGTTGGTAACCACCTGATGACCCAGGAGCATGGAACGAGAGAGTATTTGTTTGACAGCCCCCTTGTCTGGGTGACACTCCCATCCACACAGCATTTAAGAATGCCCAAGAGTATTGAGTAACCATGAACATTCTTCCTCACGAAGAAATTGTAGATTTCTTCTGGGGAGTCTTTGAGCCATGCAAACATCTAACCAGTGTTAGGAAGAAGACACTGATGTCAATCTTTCATTATAAGAAAAAGGAAAAAAATAAGTAAGTGTCCCTTTTTATAAAATTCAATGGAAGAAAACCTGTGCTTTTCTGCTCCCAGGAGCACATGCTTAGGGAAGGCACTAGTTTAATCAAGCCAAGACTATCTTTGTCTAGCTGTAGCCAGCACACTCCCAGAATCCATGAATCACGGGTTATTTTCCAGAGCAGTCTTAGAACTCAATTCAAACATACCCTGTGAGGGTTGCTGGGAAGGGCACAAAAGCAGGTCATTAGTCTTTGGAAGCCCAAGGAGGACATAGAGTAAGCTGAGCAAGGGCAAGTGGCCTTGCAACGGGAACAGGGACACCAGCCAGTCACTGCAGGAAAGCAGCTTTCAACTGCATGCCTAAGGGCCAGGCTCTCTGGACACCCTCCCCTGGGAAGCCAGGTGTGAGGTCACCACTCATGCACAGAGTGAGGTCAAATTGATTTTTATTTTTTGTTTTATGTAAGGTTTAAAAAACAGGTCAACATGAGGCTTAAACAATACGCCAGGGTTGGGGCTGAGCTGTTCCTGAGACTTTCCCAAGGCCATGGTTTCTGTCTGCCCCTTTGGAAGCCTTGGTTACTAGCAGGACCCTGGGTGGCACAGGGGAGCATTCAGACACAAGAGCATCAACACTAACCTGAGAAGTAGCTGCAGGTGAACTAGTTTCCTTACCACTCACTGCTGCTCTCTCACTGGCTGCAGCTTCTGCCACTTCTGCCTTCTGCACACTCGAATCCTCAGAACCAGGAGGCCCTATGTGCCCCAGACCTTCGCTCACTGGGGTGGAAGGTGGGTTGGTGGTAGCTTTCCGGGTTTGGCCTTTATACCAACTAGGGTAAAGCAAGGGATCCACGCTGTCCGTTGCTGTAGGGACTGGAGTTTCAGACTCTGTGGCCTGCAGAGAGCCAGTGGATACAACCTCCCCCTTAATCAGGACAGATACGTTCAGAAGTAAAACAAGAAAAAGAAGAAGAGGGGAAAAAAGGCAGTTGATTTTAGTTCCCTTCAGGTTTGACAATTGTGAGCTCTGTGTGCAGTGCCTGCTTCAGTGCATGCTTTAGTTCACCCCACCCTTGGCAAGCACTAAGGGCAGAAATGCCCACAGTACCCTCTGCATAGCCTCTGCAGTTCCCCTCTTCTTTTCTGGGCATGTCTTTCACAAGATGGTAGCCTGACCAGGAACCCTAAAATGAAGGTTACTTACAAAACATTTGATATGGGAGAAAGGTCAAACTATTGACCAAGTTAATTTTTAATATATGTGGGCCCCTGAAACCTCTTTTTTAAAACCAGCCATTGAGCTTATTCCCATTTAGTTATCACCCCTCTTTCAGTTTCAGTGCAATTGGTATACTCAGGTTTTCAAAATTTTAGGAACTATAAATAACAGTATTTTAGTCTGGTTGTCTGTGGAGGCAGAGCATAGATGATATGCTTCCACCCCCCAGTTCTCGCTCTAAGGTTTTGTTTATGTAGGTAATTTCAATCCACTGTGAAAGCAGGTGCAAAAACAGGGCTCATTTGTGATGAGTCTGCATTGTCCACAAACTCAGCAGGTTGGGACCTGTCTGCTGAAGGCGTCATGCAGTCAGCATAAAGGCTGGCCAGTGACATCTTAGAAATTTAAGGTCAGCCAATCAGGTACAACATTTGGGATGAGCTAATTGGCTTAGAACATTTTTAAACAATTCTGTCAACACATAATCTTATTAAATGACATACAAGAAAACGAGGCTTCATTTGCATACTGAACAAAAGTTGTATTTCAGGGTAAGGAAGAGGGACATAAACTACCATAACTTCTCTATTCACTTTCTATATTATCCATAAAAAAAATGCAGAGTTTCAAAAGTACCATCATTGTTATTTTTCACCCTAAATTACATATTTTCACCCTATACCTTATATCTATATTCAGAGCAGACCTAATATTCATGAAATTGGCTCTCTATAAATATGTAACATATACACAATTTCCAGACAAAGATTGCCTCAAATTTGAGGGTGTTATTAATGGAAAACCATGTCAAACCAGTTATAACAACTGATCTGTTGAATAGTCTACAGGGGCTTTTCTCCCAGACATTGTGACTGTCCTGAAATCTTTTGTCTTCCACGTACAAATGTCTGGCATAAAGTTATCTTTTCCTCAATGCAGAATGAATTATTTAGGCTGTTGGTCAAGGAAGCACACAGGCATGTCCTGTAGGAAAGAACTCATGAAAGGTTACCTGTGTCACTGGGGCATCTGCAGCAGGTGGCAGGGCTGGAGGTGGCTCTGGAGAGGAAACAGGAAGTGTTGCTGGGGCAGCCTGGACCTCTGAGGCCAGCTGAGAGAGCTCCAAGGCTTTCTCCAGGCTTTCATCTTCTTCTGATGGCTCTGTTCCAACATGTTCTACCTCTTCGATTTTTACTTCTTCTTCTTCTTGTACTTCTTCCTCTCTGTCTCCTCCTCCTTCCTCTTCTCCTTCTCCCTCTCCTTCTCCTTCTTCTTCTTCCTCTTCATCTTCTGGTAAGGTAATGTATTTTTAAATCATTACAATGACCACTACAGCCATGAAAACAATTAATGGCCAGGGCTAGGGAAATCGTCTCTAACAGAACTTGACTATCGCCCAAGTATGCCATCATGCTGGAGTTTTTTGCTTCTAGTTAAATGTGGACAGAACATATGTGAAGGGGGCCAAACCATCATCATCCTCCTTTCTCCCCTTCTCAGTATGATGTCTAGTCCTCACCACCACCATGCACCATTCCCCTGACCCCCAGAGCCTGTTCACATTGTTACCACACACTGTCACATCTACAAGCTCCTGAAAGGTTAGGATTGTCACTTATTTATCTCCATCAAGTCAAATGAAAATGCAATTCTCTTCTTTATCTAGTTTTATTTTAATTGCTTACTTCCTTTGTTCAGTGAATGCTGACTTTTGCCACAATTAATGTCATCTTTTCCTAACCTGTTACTCTTAATATTCCCTCGGACAATAAGGAGAGACGATATTAATTTTTCAAAAGATCCATCCGGAAAATTTGCTTCTAAAGTTATATCTGTGAACACTAATACAGCTTCCTGGCATTAACAGTAGTCTAGCTGAGGTGCCTCCTCACCTAGATGGGCTAGGATGGGTGAGGAGACTTGATCAGCTCCAAGGTTATTTTCCTCTTTTCAGTGATTTCATTAGGATAAATTTCAGGAGTGGAGTTTCTGGGCCAAATGGTAGGGATGCATTTATAACTCATGGAGTACATCTAGTCACATGGTCCAAGTATTATTACCAGGTTGTGACTTATTCTTGACTTGCTACTATTCTTGCCCTTGAAAGTTTGATTAAGTGGATGAACTACACTATCTATCCATATGTCTTCTATGTTTTATCTTTATCTCATCTCTAACCTTACATCATTGTGGCTAACACCTTGTGGAGGGTTGAAATTGAAATTTCATCATCACCAACAACTATTAAGTGTTTGACTACCCAGAGTCAAATGCCCAATAATGGCATTATAATGGACACTCTGATATGCAAAGCAAAGCTAAATTAACACTGTCAACAAACTATATGATTTTGTAATGAAGTAGAACTTCACATTAGATTATAATCCTTGTAAAATTGTCACCATCCATTCTGAAAGTGACTCTGAATCCACCTTCTCTCCCACTGAACTCTCTGCAGCTTTCACACACTTGCAATTTTGGCCAAATGGTCACAAGAATAACAAACCTCTGTAAAAATCAATTTCGCGTATTATTTTCTCTTCTCTATTGAGGTTGACTGTGAAGTGGTTCATGTTCTCATAACCATGCTCTATTTTCTCCATCTGAAATGCCTTCGATGCTTCAGAAATTCTGCAATAAAGACAAGTTGCTACTTTGTGTCACTGTTTACAGTTTTGATAGCCTTGGATAAAAATGAAGAGTATTGCATTTTTCCTTAAAATAAAAATTACTTACTTTTGTAACAGGGTTTTGGCATTCTGTGAAAGCAAACAAAAGACAAGCCTACTTAAATTCTTTTCATCAAACATGATGTTGAGACTTAATTCTTTCCTTTGCTGACTCTGAAAATCTCATAGTTTAAATTTTAAATGCCATAAATAACTGCTCCTTTATACCAGAACCATCTTATATTTAAGCAATGTCATGGTCCCTTAAATATATGCTCATGAAATTGTTTCAGCAGATGGAGAATAAGCACACAATGAACTTATATTTTAGTTGGTAAAATAGATCAGAATGAGATGTACATAGCAAAAACGTGATGCCAACCACTTCTCCAACACCCATCTGCTTGGTTAGTTACCTCTGATGCCAAAAGGAGACTTACCTGCAGAAACACTGCCATTTCTGGCTCATCCATGAACTGGATTCCTGACTCGACCAACTTTGATACATTCTCCAAATGATCAGAATACTTTTTGATCAGAGCACGGACATGTTCCAGTTTTTCCCCTTGAGTTCGGGTAATGACTTGGGTCATCTCATTCTTCCTCTCCTCCAGGATGCCATACAGGTAATCAAACTTCTCACAAAGTTCCTGTTTCTGTTTTTTGCAGCATTCCTATTAGTTGGGTTAGCTAATGTTAGAAAGTGTTTGAAAGAATGTCTGTTTGGAAAAAGCACCTGGACATTTTGGGAGATAAGAAACTTTATTTATGTAGGATACTTTTCCCTTAAGCTATCACTTACAGATACCTACTGTGTTGATACTTTGAAAATCCCACTTTTATCCAATTATGTGGCCAAACCAAAAGTAATCAAATTGGCTAAATGGATAATTTTATAGAAATTAAGACAGGTTTTATTTTAAATTACATATTGGTTATATAGCTTATAGGTTTATATTTTGCTTTGGAGTGTGTGTGTGTGTGTGTGTGTGTGTGTGTGTGTGTGTGTGTGTGTGTGTGTGTATAAGGAAAAAACTATGGTACTTCCTGGTTTGTACCCTCAGTCTTTCTCTGTCCTGTTTATACTGCTGCTGTTGTAGTTCAGTCATCCCATGTATATTCTGAAGCTTCCAATGGCCTCAGCATCTGGGATTTCCTCTTCAAGCCAACAAACATGCTGCTGTCAAATTCATTTTCCTAGGATATAGTGCTTTTTCTCTGTTATGACTCCCCATTGCCTAAAGAATAACACTTTAACTTTACAACTGGCTTTCAAATCTTTTTATTACCTGATTCCAGCTTTCCTTCACCATATATTACTCTTCTCCATCACATACCATGTCTGTGTCCAGCAAAAATGAATCACTCGCTTTCTTTTCTCATATTCCCCATCTGTTTAGAATGTTCTGCCCCAATTCACAGTTGCAAATGCTAAACTATCTTGAAGACTTGTTGAAATACCACTTCTTCCTTGAAGCTTTCCTTGATCTCTATGGTTGAATGTCATTTTTTAATCTTCTGAAATTCCATAATACTTATCATTTGTGGCATATACTTGCATTCAGGTGCTCTATTTATCCAATATTGTCATAAGAGAGTGAAATATTGAATCTAGTCTTGGATTCCTGGAGGGAAAGGCTGTATGGGAAGTCAGCCTTGTCCATTTGCACTGTGTGACTAAAGCATCTCCAGTACCAGCCAGCTCCCTTTATACTCTGAGTCCATGTTTAAATCCAGTTAGGCCTTTTGTTGTTTCAAACTCCAGTAAGCTTGGTGTGTGTGTGTGTGTGTGTGTGTGTGTGTGTGTGTGTGTGTGTGTACCTGTCTCCTTGGACCTGACCATCTGGGTCCAGGACCTTTATGGCTGAGAGCAGGTTTTGAGCCATGATGATCCAACCTAGCTCTCCTGCCTAGTGGGTGCTTCCTAGACCCAATCAATTTATCTCTGACATATCCAACCTTTGGACGATCCTTATTACCTGTTCTTTTATTTTAGTAAACATTATTCTTTTTTATATCACATATTTCTTTCTTTACATGAGTTTCTTAAAAATCTAAATGATAATCTCCTTGGGAATAGAATCCGGGTCTTCCTAGGACACATACTACCTTGGACAGATGTTCAATAAATATCTGCTGAATAGATTTTTTAAAATCATGTTTCATTTTCCCCCAATTTCTCTACTATTCTCAGACTAAGAGGGGAAAAAGAATGACTTAAAGCAAATGGTTAATTATGAAGATGCTCCACAAATGAGCAAGCAATACATCCTTCACTCCACTGCCTCTGTTGGATAATATAGTTAGTTCTCATAATAGTATTGCTGTCATCCACCCATCTATTCATTCATTTAACAAATGATTCTTAAGTATGTCATTTGTGCCAACCACTGTGCAAGGCTCTGGGGACCTAACAATGAATTAAACATAATTCCTGTTGTCAAGGAGCTCTCAGTTCACTGAATGAGAAAGACTATGGACCAATAATATAATATAACCTAGTAGGCTGAATAATTGAAATATATTAAGGATTTATATCAGGCTTCATAGAAGCATAGAGGTGGGGCTTTAATCAACCCTTTGTGTGGGTGGGGGATATCTGACGGGAACAGGACGAGGGTGGTGATATTAGCTCAGGAAGTGATGCCCAAATTTGGACATAAATGATGAACAGGAGTACAGGAGGGGATGAAAATGTGTAGAGTCTTGGTAGCTGTCAAAGTAATAGTACAGGGGCCCACACAGCATGTCCAGACATGTAAATTGCTGGATTTACCAAATTCCCATCCATTTCCAACCTTTTAGCTTAAGATTTAGACTATTATGCAGCCTAGGAACTGAAGCCTGTTAGTAGCTTCCCAATCAAACTTTCTTTCTCTGTCTTACCTCCTGTTCTAAGCTTACAAGCAACTATGTGCCCACTGCATTCCTGAAGTACACCTTTGATGTTCAGATGCTGTGCTGCTTACTGTGACTATATGATGGTTTCTAGCTTATTTTTCTAAAGTGAATTGTGCACTTAAAACATTCAGAATAATGAGTATTATATTAGTATATGATAGTAGCAGAATGTATTTGTTTCATAAAAGTTTTCTCCTATATGATTTAATATGTGTGAGAAATTTGTGAAAGCCGAATTCTTTTCAGTGAGGCTAATGAAGTCATGTGTCATGGCTAGTGTATTTGCTCAGGTCAAAGATTAGATCACTTAGTTGGCCCATATAATTTTTACTTAGTGGCTTAAGTGGAATACCATGTGTTATTTTATTTCTATTCTGGTTTTTAATGATTTTCACTTTATTGATTTTTTATAAAATTGCTATCATTTTAATAGCAACTACATTTGCTTATACATTACAGTTTAGGAAATGCTACCGCATGGCTAGACTTTCAGCAGCTCACTTTTTCCCTAGGCACTTATTGCTGTCTAAGTGATCTTGTTATTCATGTGTTTATTATCTATCTCTTCTACTAGAATAACATCTCCCTGAAAAGCATGTGCCTCTTCCATTTAGTTCACCAATATTTTCCCAGCATTACCTGTGCAGACAATGCCCACATGAGAAATATGGTGTGAATGATTGAGTGAATGAATGAAATCTAGGAATGGTCAATCCTCATTCAAAAGTTTCTATTTTGTTCTGTCCCAAAGAAATAGGAATTTAACTGGATATCCCAAGCCTCTTCTTAATTCATTGCTCAAAAGAAAAAAGCCAGAAATAGCTATGCAACCTCAAGGAAACCATTTTACCTCAGGATAATTTTTTTTCTTGATCTGTACATTAAAGGATGGGATTAAATAGTTGCTCAGATCCCTTCTTTCTCTAGAGTTCCAGTATTTTACAGTTTATGAAATGCCTCTTTATATCTAAAATGCCTCTTTTGATTCCTGGAAAGTTTCAAAGTGGTCATTTACAGCACTAAGATATAAATTGCATGCTCTAGCCCTGCAATGTCAGCTTGGCAATGTGCCATGGTCACGATAGGAAAAAACCTGAGACAGTTGTGACCACTGCTCTTACCATGTGAGGAGCGTGGCTTTGTGACCAAAATAGAGCTGAAGATAAGCTTTTAGCCCCACCACTTGTCATTGAGCAACTGGCTCTGCCAAGCCTCCCAGTATTCGTATGTCTACCACGTTCCTCCATTCGAGATACACTGTTTGGAGCTGCAGCTCTGGGTCTGTAAGTGCCCACTCAGCTTCACTTGAAATACAGAAATTCAAAATTCCCTTCAATAAGCAAAATTAAAGTGTAAAAAGTAGACAGTAGATTAATAATACTAGAGAAAGAACTCTATTAAGGTAGGAAGATTCTCTCAAGGAAATCAAACCCAACTCCTCACTTATAAAGGCCCATTACAAGAACTTGGAAGAAGTCCCAAGAGTGCAGACCAGGATGAGAGCCCAGGTCTCTGCTCGGCTGCACTAGAAAAGAGACCAACACAGTAGAAAGACACTGTCTCTCCAGGCACATGGGCTGGAGTTCACCCCCTCTCCAGCCATCTGGCCTCTGTGCTGTGTTCAGGGAAGAACTCTATTCAATGGCCTTGGGCCTCAAGACTCCCAAACTCATGCTTTTTTTTCTACCATATTGTATCACCCCCACTTCATGTTAGAAAAATAATGTTATAATTTATGAAAATTCTAATGCTTCCTCCTGGAGTTCTTGGCATTAGGGGTTTTGCTGATTAGTTCTGATCATTTAAAAGCTCCTTGAGTAAACTCCCTGAAGGCTGAGGGCCAGGTGAGCCCATCCTGACTCAAGCCCCATGGTTCAGTAAAAACCATGAGACCAAGGCAAGCTGAGCAGATTTCAATTCAGTCCCATGTGCTCTGGGTAGTCAGTATGTTTCCTGGAAGAGGTTCAGTCTCCCTTGCTTACCAATATTTCAAGTTACCATAAAGCTTCCTAGATAAAGATAGAACTTCCATTCATTTTCAAATTATTCCCTCTGCAGGGAGTTGCTTCACCCTCCTATCATAATAGGACTCATAGATAGAGAGCAGGCTAACAGCTGTACGGGATTGGGGGGTAGGGGCTGGGGGAGTAGAGAGATTGAACAAAAAAGAAAAAACTCGGGGAAACCGATGTGTGGTGATTCCTGAGGTGAGGTTGGGATGTGGGGAGGTGTAGAAGAGTGTCACGAGGGATAAATGATGATGGATGAATTGAGGTGGTGAACACACAATACAGTGTACGGATGATATGTTGTAGAATTCTGCATCTGAAACCTGTATAATTTTGTTAACCAGTATCACCCTCCCCCCCAAAAAATACAATAAAAATCAAACTCTGAAATCTGTTCTCTTAGGTACATGTTATATTGCTGTTTGAATACTGCCTTAAAAATTAGAGCATGCTTATTAAAATGATTCTTATTATAGTCATGGACAATGCTTAAAAGCTGTTTGGGTAAAATCACTATTTTGGAAATACAGTGGATTTTTTCTCACTGCAAAATTATTAGAGAATTTTATTAAAGTTGACATTTTCCAGATATTGCAAATGCTCAAAATCAAGTATTTATTTTTCAATTTGTAGCTGTTTCCCCTAGACAGGCATCCAGGAAAACAGGATTATTTCTAGCCTGCCTGCCCACTATCCTCAGGAAGGCCAATATTAATTGTCTGCTCTCTTGGGGTCCAGTGATATAGATAAGTGCCATTTACAAAGACTATATGGGGGAGCTTACATTTTCTAGAAATGAAGAATGAAAGTCAAGCACATTTTTCTGGAAGCAGAGAGCTCCTGAATTACATACACTTCTCCACTCCCACTAGCAGCCCCCCTCCTCAGTCCCAGCCAGGTCCCACGACATTTCAGGGGCTGGTAAGGTGAGGGAAGGTAGCCCCAGACCTTGCCCTTGCAAACCAGAGCCCTGGGAATGCCTCAGCCTGAGCCACATCAGCCAGGATGGCTAGAAGGACAGAAGGCTCTTTCATCCGTCATCAGAACACAGCAACAGGGAAAATGCCACTCCCCTCACACAGCTCAGACTGCCCTTCTGTGACTATGCCACTCTCATCATCAATGGGAACTCACCTCAACTGAACACATTACTTTTAAAGGGCAACAAGGAGTCCACAATGTGATTTCTCCTAAGCTCAGCAGCTCGCCAGGACCAGTCCAGGGCCAGGTGCCTGGCCAGGCCAGCTCTGCAAGACACTGCATGATTAGGGACAGAATTAGACATGTAAAGGGAATGGACACTTGACCTAAGGGCAGATGTCAGGCTCCTCCTGGGTTGAGGTAAGTAATTAGGGAAGGACAGAGCCCACTCCAGGGGCTGCTCCATTTCCTGTCCCTCAGGGGTTCCTCACCAATCAGAAAGGAGAATTCTTTAACAACAGCTCCCCACCCCCTGGTCCACAGCCACCAAAGGCTTTCCAGCAGGTGGTGAGCACAGCCTGAAAGGGAAACAACAACCCCAGGCAGAACCAGGGACACAGGAGCTCTGGGACCCTGACCTGGGTACAGAATTCACCTGCTTGGCAAGGTAGGACAATTTCACTCTGAGCCAAGGACCCAGTGTGCTTCACTAGCTGGCTTCTGGGCCAGCAGGAAGTGAGCCGCTGGTGCTTTGCCCACTGATAAGGTCCTACCTGTACAGGAGAGCACCTTAGTGATTACAGGCGTACACAATGTGGCCATTTTGTGGCAGCATCTCTGTCCTCGGGCCCCTTCACATGGGGGATATTGGCATCAAGTGGGAATGCTAAAATCAGATATTTCCATGGAGCTCTGAGCCAATCCCTGCATTTCCTGATAAGCCACCTAAACTGTTCTGAAGGAACTGTGCTTATCTGAGCCATATTCACTCATTCATTCACTCACTCACTCTTATTTTATTAGGTATTAAAATGTCAGGCTTGCTTTAGAAAAATGTGGAATGCAGGAATATATAAGGAAGGCATTGAAAATCGTCTATTCACTTCTCTTACCCTGGAGTTTTTCCCCCTATGGATGTGGAGTTATTTTTTAATGTATACATTCCATACTGTTTTGTATACCACTTTTTCATTGGATTTCTTAAGATAAAACCCCAGAGTTGAAATAAACAGGTAAAAGAGATGGGCACTTTTAAGACTCCTGCCCCCCTAGCCATTTTGGCTCAGTAGATAGTCTGCCTGTGGCCTGAAGGGCCCCAGGCTTGATTCCAGTCAAGTGCATGTTCCTCAGTTGCAGACTAGATCCTGGGCTCAGGTGGGAGGCAGCCAATTGATGTGTCTCTCTCACATTTCTCTCTCTCTCTCTCTCTCTCTCTCTCTCTCTCTCTCTCTCTCTCTCTCTCTCTCTCTCTCCCTTCCACTCTCTCTAAAAATATTTTTTAAAACACCAATGGGAAAATATCCTCAGGTGAGGATTAACAACAACAAAGACTCCTGCCAATTTGCAGTCTCATCTTGAAGCCTTCCAGGAGACAATTACACATCCTCCTCTAGTAACCTGTGAAAGTACTCATAAAAGTACTATGTTCGAGGAATGCTTTTATCAGTAATTATAGAGGTAATAATTCTGACTGTCACTTCCAGGAAGTTCTTCCTGACATCTGCACTAAATCCGTTCTGCTAACATAACTGCACACCTGTTCCTTCTAGTCTTGTTCTCAGTGGAAATAAAAACAGCTGCTTCCTATTGCTCCTGAGCTCCCAGGAACAAAACTGTTGTCTAACCTCTCCACGCCCTCTCAGTGTCCTCTGACACTGGCTTTGCTCAAGGCCAACTGCGACTCACAGGACTTTTCTCCTGTATGTGTCCCCAACCTAACATCCCTCACAGAAAGCCCTCCCATGATAGAGGTATCTCTGATGAAAGCCAAGCAGAGACAAGTATAGAGATTATCTCACTGGCCCACAAGCAACACACTCCTATTTATGTACTCAAGACTCAATGTGGTACTACACTGGAGTGCTGATTCATGGCTTATTGGTTGAGTTGTATTTGACCTTTACTGTAAATAAGTAAAAAGAAAAAAGTTAACATTGTCCACTTCAGAATCTTTTGGGCTTTTCACCAAGAGAAAATTTTTCTTCTATGAATGGATCCCAGATTTATGGGTTCTCATAGGAATATGAGTGTGGAGAAGAGAGAAGTTTGACTTTCATGATTCGTGAATCTAAAATGAGATGATTATGGCCAATATCTTGAAGTCATCACCTAGGAACTGGCCTTTGGCTTTTGATAGAATGTGCCTTTCTAATGATAAAATAATAAGACTATGGCATTTGCTGGGCACTCACCATATGCCAGGCACCATGCTAAGCATTTTGCTTATATTCCTTTAATTTCTGACAGTAACTATGAAGTAGGTACTATGATTACTCTAATTTTACAGAGGAGAAAACTGAATGACTGAATGTACATTGGCTTAGTTTTTTAAAAGTAAGAAGCAGAATGAGAAATACAACACAATGCCATTTATAAAATTAAAAGACATGCATATAAAACAATACATATTTTATAAGGATACACGTAAATGGAACATCAAGCACGTTAGAGTGGTTATTTACAGAGAAGAGAACAGGAGTGCAAAATAGGGATAAAAGGAAATAAATAGATAACAAGAGGGGCCTTGCCCACAAATATGAATACAATTAGCCATGAACTGAGCAGTACAATGCCTCAACACTCTGCACCTGAAGTCCAACTAAAAAACAAATTACCCTAAAACTTTGAGCAGGGAGGGAGGAATAAATGGCTCCAGGGTACAGGGCCAGAGACCTAGATGTCTTACCCCTGTCTCTCTGCAGCAGGGCTCAACTAGTCTGTGAATCTTCAAGTCTTGACAAGATATCTGCTACAGAGCTAAACCTTTTTAGGTTCCAGCATTTTGCCTTCAGCAATTACACTGTTTATCATTGACCTTGGGGAAAAAGTGGATTTCCTATGTTTTTAACATGCCAAACCTAAGTCTGAACTAAATAGCCAGCCATTCATCCATTTGTTCATCAAGTTTTCATTGAGTGTTTATTATGTACCAGGTACTGGGCCAGGCAGAGGGCAAACAGAGTTGAACAAACCAGAACTCAGGCCTCCATGAGCTCCCAGTTAATGAGCCATTCCCTAAGCACAATCAGGCAGATCTCTCTTCCTGCTGGCCTTTTGCAGCCCCACTGTCAGAGCACAGATATGCAGCTCAAACTAGAATAAGAATTTCTTACTAGCATTTCTTAATTAGATTTAGATTTCCACAAAGAAATTGTGTTATAAAGGCTGACAACACTCATTTTCATTATGGGGAATTACTTTCCCTGTAGCTAATCTTTCAAAATGGGTTGACCAAGAAGACCAATGCATATAACAAAACCCTAGTAAATGTGGTAAAGTCACAGGAAGTGAATATTTTAGAGACATATCAGGAAGGAGGTCCTTCTATAAGATGAGATTGAAATGTTGAAATGGTTTTCTAGTGTGGTGTTAAGGAAGCCACATCCCTAGGAGTTCAGTTTTGGTTTACACTTCTGTGGAGTCTTACTTACCTCAATAGTTTTACAGGTGTCCTCCAACTGGCTGATCACTCCCTGGACTCGATCATTGCTTCCCACAAGGACAGCAATGCCATCACTGAGCTCAGACTAATGAAGAGAAAAGAGGGGTGCAAGATCTTAGGGGTTTTCTAGTCAGCACTGATTTTGAATTAATCATAGTGTTGTCCTCATGGGTTCTTAACCTAGGATCTATAAAACCCAAAGGAGGAACAGAGAGTCTCAGGAGTTCTGTGAACCTCCTAATCTTGTAAGTAAATTCTGTATGGATGAGGCTAGAAATACATTTGTGTGGGAAGAGGCTTCATATTTTTCATCAAATTCTTACCAGACTGTGACCCTGTTAAAAACATTAAGAATGCTAATTATAGGCCATAGGTAGAGAATAGCATATTCAAGCTAAAGAATTCTAAGTATTGTTTATAAATTGAATGGAGTCCAATATGTGACATCAGAAACAGAAAATAAATGATTTGCCAAGTGCAGCTGAGGATTAGTTTTACTAGGGAAATGTATATAGTGACTACTCATTCATCTATTCACTTATACTTATTCAACATATACTTATCATGCACCTTCTATGTGCTAGGTGTACACATACTCATGTACTGGACTAAGTCACTACAATGTAACTTGAAACTACTAACATTCAACTGGTTCTAGGGGAAATTCCTCTCAGACTCCTGACAAGAAGAGATTCCATTGTTTGTACTTAACTCCCTTCCCAAAGTTGGCTAAGGAGCACGAAGGAACACAGAATGGGGAAGTAGGAGATCTACCTGCTTGGTCCAACTCTGCCTTTAACTTCTCTATGATGTTGGGCAAAATGTGTAATCTAATTTTCTCACATTTTAAGTGGCAATAACAGTGGTTGTAAACACAATTTAAAGCTGCAGAATGCTTTCTTCAAATGGAAGAAATGGATGAGAGTGAAGCTATTTTGGCCAAACAGGAGTGGGGTAAAAGTCCTGCCATCCATCCTTCTGTTCATCCCACCTGAGTCTCCAGGGCACTGAGGGAAGCAGTGTGAAACTGGTACTAGTCAGTTCTAGTACACTAAGACTAGGGGTGGAAGGAAAGGAGGAATAAATCACAAGTAGATTAAAAAATAAATGTTATAGACATCTTATGAAATACTGCTTTTTTAGCAGTTAGTACTCACTGGTGGGAACTGGTGGTGTTTAAAAGTTTGGCTTCCAAATTTGATCCTCAGTAAAACACTGAGCAAATGTGGAATCTATGATTCTAACAGAAAAAAAAAATCAAGGTATGGAGCTGCTCAAATTCTAGGTGTCTAGAGTGGCTACACCTATTTGAGCACGTGAATCCACATTTATTTGGATCAAATGGATAAGTTCCTACTTGTCCATGGGTGAGACCATATTGGCAGGTTAGTGGTAAACTGGGGGAGATGCTGCATTTGATCAGAATGAAAGGACTGAGCCTGAGGCCCTGGGGTGGGGACACTCAGAGGAGGCCTTTCATCAACTGGCCTAGGGCAAAAGGCTAGAAGGTGGGTTTCACCTAGTATTGAGGGCCAGCCCAGAAAAGTTTTATTTATTTTTTAAATATGTTTTTATTGATTTCAGAGAGGAAGGGAAAGAGAGAGAGAGAGAGAGAGAGAGAGAGAGAGAGAGAGAGAGAGAGAGACGTCAGTGATGAGAGAGAGAGAGAGAGAGACATCAGTGATGAGAGAGAATCATTGATCGGCCGCCTCCTGCATACCCCACACCGGGGATCAAGCCCACAACCCAGGCATGTGCCCTGGACTGAAATCGAACCCAGGACCTTTCATCCTGCAGGCCCACGCTCTATCCACTGAATCAAACCAGCTAGGGTCCAGCAATGTTTTAAATTGTTCTTAAAGAATCGCCATTCATTGTATCTCTCCTGTACTAAGAGAGGAGGAAATTGGGGGCGGGGTGGAGGCGGGGGGTGGGGGGGGAATCTTTTGTTGGTAAATGAAGAAAAACATTCTGTGACTGGAGTAAAAGGTATCTTTTTCTTTTCTATAGTCTGAACTTCAAATAATGTTTGAGCAGCTGGAGCTCAGATTCCCCTAACACTGTTCATCTTCAGAAACCTCTAAAGGGCGCAAAAAACAGCAACCCTTCCCCCTCCAATCCCCTTCTTGACTGCCTCCCTCCCACATCCACCCGACTCCCGCATCCCTTCCCTCTCTGGCCTTCCCCACCACCTCCAGAGACTCAAACGTGAGGTCATGTGCATGCAGCATCCCTTCCCACTGGACCCTCCATCCTTCCTGTCTCAAGGGGCTGCAGAGGAGGGGCAGTGGAGAGTCCATTACCTTCTGCCTCTGGAACACGTGAGTGAGGGGAGCCACTTGGCAGTCCTTGTGTGCCCCAAAGATCTTGCACAGAGAGCAGGTGGGCACCTCGCAGTTTAGACAGTAGATGTTGATGCGCTCTTCTTCATGCTCCTCGCACCTGGGCTGGTCGGACTTCTTTTCTGGTCTGGGAGGAGGTAGCAGATAAATGTGTCAGCTCCCAATGGGGCAGAGCCGAGATGGGTGATCAGCATCGCAAATCCCAGCTAGCCCCTGTACTCAACAGCAACCCATTCCAGAGGGCTCCCAGAGCCCTCCAAATTCAGTTTCCTTACAGTGATGTGCCTGGGGTGGTGGAGACTCTGATCTGTAGCATGGCCAACTTCCGTGGTGTTGAGTATTCCCAGCATGGCAAATTTTCAAGTTATAGGGTGTGTGTGTGTGTGTGTGTGTGTGTGTGTGTGTGTGTGTGTGTGTAAGAGATCAACCAACGGACTTGTATGCATGCATATAACCATACCAAAGAACACAGACAGGAGGGGGTGAGGGCATGTGCTGGAGGGTGGGGGTGATGGGGAGAGGTCAATGGCAGGGGAAAAGGAGACATATGTAATACTATATGTAATACTTTAAACAATAAAGAATTAAAACAACAACAAAACTAGTGCAATTCCTGAAAGTTAACACTGGGCTCATGCATTAAGAACATGCTCCAACACTGTCTCCACTGCCCACTATTTTCAAGAGAACTCCTGCCATTAACCCAGAAAGTTAAATGTAAATAACTTCCTGAAGACTTGGCAGTGGTTAGGCGTGAGCAGTGTGTGCTCAGGGAATGTGAGCAATTATACTGAATAGGCAATAAGAAAAATGCAAAATGCTGTTCTGGGACATGGTGAGCATCGGAAGTACAAATCTCACAGGTAATCCCAAGTTTCAGTTTTCCCAACAGGTCAGCACCTGCTAAAACTTTTCGAGCTACAGCAGGTAATAATGGAGCATTGGATTTGTAAATGCTAGAGAGATGAACAAGCAATAAAGAAACCATGAGGGAGGGGTGACAAGTCATTGCTACTTATGGGTAATCTGTTAGCTGTGGAATCACCTGTAGTGTCCCAAATTCACAGCGCATGAAAGCACCCTGTATATTCCCCTAACCGTCAGCATGGCTTAGATGTTATGATCAAGATAAAAATTGTACCAAGTTGCCCTAGCAACTTGGGTATGTGTGCAAGAGGCAGCCAGTCAATGATTCTCTGTCATTATTGATGTTTCTCTCTCTCTCTCTCTCCCTTTTACTTTCTCTCTAAAATCATTAAAAACATATTTTTTAAAAAATTACACCATGTTGTAGTGCTTTAGGCTCCCTCTGGTGAGTATGGTGGGAGGTGTGGATGTAGCCAACTCACACAAAAATCTAGAATTTTTATATATCTTATCTAAAGACTAAGACTGTTGATGGGTATTTGAAAAATTTAAATACAAACCCAAAACCTTGCCGAACATATGGTTATTTAGAAGCATGTCAGATTTGGAACTGAATATTTTTTAGCTGTTATCAAGATCTACTTTTAAAAAACTGCAGGTTTTGATGGGCCATGATATCAGTATAGGGGGTTATGACCAGCATTGTTAAAATAAAACAGAATAGCTGGGTTCACCTCATTCTGTACATCCCAGGTTATTCCAGAGTCACCTAATATATCCTAAGATTCAGGATTCTGAGCTGATAAGGCTTCCAGCTTCTAGGGAACAACTGGGTTTCTGCCCAAATATCTGTCTGAGCCCTTTGTGCAACCTGTGGTTTTGTTACCAAATAAAAATGTCCCAATGGCAAGTCTCAAGTTTAAGAAACAACAGCATAAAAAGAATTCAATAATCACAGAAATACCCTTAGTACACTCAGCTATGAGTTTCATTGCTGGACATTTGGTTCATTGCTTTTATACAATTTGCTCACCTGGACACTATTTTTGACACATGTACCACACAGACTTTATAGTTAACTAATGTGTCTTGTAGTTTTACTAATGCTACAAGTTTTAACATCTCCTCTTCTCTGGACTTCATAACAACTATTGTTATTTCATATGTTTCAAGGTCTTGCTGTGGCAAGTAGAAAAATGGAAAATTATTGCAATAACTAGAACATGTAGGAAGGTACTGTAGTTGGCATGGAATCAGTTATTATATAAACTTCCTTAATAACTGGTTGATAACTCATTGGCTGGTTAACTGTTTTAAAGAGACAGTGTGTGTATTTGCATTTTAAATTAATGAAATACAATGAAATCCAAGCAACAGCAACAATAGGACTTTCCTTCTTCTCAAGAGACTTTTGACTCAAGGGAAATAGTCGACTACGTATCTCTGCAATATGTCATCAGCAATCATTCTTCTTCCCCAGTTCCATCTATATCCTGGTGCTATCGAATTTAGTTTTGAATCATAAGCAGAAACTAATAGCTATAGTGATTATACTAATTATATGTTAGATTTATAAAGCAGCTTTCCTTCTAAGAGTGCAAGGCTCTCAGAAGCATGCAGATGTTCCATAAATACATGCCTTCTAATTAGAATCACAATGAGGTCATTTCTAAATGGTCTTAATATTGCTTTCAAGCTTTGTGGACCCGCCTGACCTGCATACAATTGAAGGAGGGCTCTTCATACCATGCCTTCTAGGAATGAATTCTCACAGTGTTGTCTTTAGGAAAAGAACTCTGTAGCCAATGTGATTTGATGAAGAAGCCTCCTCCCCTTTAAATGATCATATATATACTGCATATCAATCAATCAATAGGTAAATGTTAATAGCATGCAGTAAATATAATCTAGAGATAGGGAAACATAACCTGAACTCCATCTTTATTTTTCTCCCATGTCTCTACAAGTTGTGTAAGGCCAGGACTATTATCTTGCCTTGCAATTTCCAGAGTCAATTCCATGACATGTTAGAGAATTTTGTTTTTATTATTATCTAGATAATTTTAAGATGAGACTGTCTGAACTAGGAATGGACTATTGGAAAGGTGCCATTTCTGTAATTTCCTATAAAGTTTTATGCTATAAATTTTTGGCTATGTTGAATCTAGAGCTACAAAGATCCTGTGAAGTACAGAAATGTCCACACTGAATGTAATACAAAGCTTTGGGTGGAGCAGCATTATGCCTCTTTCAATGTCACCATTTGGAGTGGATTGGTGTTGAATTACTTCATTCTTAAATTGATACAAAAGCATGGTCACTATCTCCCTTCCCCTTTCCCATGAGCAACTCTCAATCCCACTGGAAAAGACTGACTTGGAAAAACATTTTGCTATGAAGCAATTAGCCTGTGATTGCTAAACAAACATTCAGTGTAGTGACTCACTAAAACAACCAACCAAATAAATAAAAACAAGCTTCCAATGGGTTTGATACATGGAAGAACTATACCTGGTGGACTCCTGCTTGTAGATGTCAATGATATTTTCTACCAGCAGGTTCCTCTGAAGTCCATATATCCCATGTCTGTCCAAAACCACTTCATGCCTACAGGATGGGCAGCGGAATCGGCCTCCTGATGCCACCGTGGTGCCTCCTCTTGTGGGCAAGTATGGGTTAGAGGCCTGTTCTTGCCAAGCAAGAAAAGAGGAATTGAGTAATGCCATGGGTAGCTTTTCTGAGACGCCTCTTCATTCTCTGTTACTACAAACATCAACTTCTACTTTAAGCTTGCCATAAGATAATCCCTTAGGGCCTTCTCGGCAAGTAGGCCTAAAAGACAGGCCCAGCTCCCATCCACAGTCAACTGCAATGTATCATTTTCACCGGGAGGTTATTTTCCATCCAGTGTTTTCATAACCAAAAGCTCCTAGCCAGAAACTCCAACATTAATGTATTGGATAGTAATTCATTTACAAATTTGAAACAGATTCCATTTAAAACACACACACACACAAATTTGATTCGTAGCATTAAAATAAGAGGAGGCTAACAGCAAAGCACAAAGCAAATCATTAATTTATTTTTTTTGAAAATGAATGCAGCCTTTTAAAGTTTTCTAAAGGAATTCACCTCAAAGTTAAGCACTTAATTCCAAAGAATCTATCCACCCCGACATTCCAAACAAACCTACCTGGAAGATATCACTGGCACATTTCCTACACAGGTTATGCTGACAGGGAAGAATGACCACAGGCTTCGTGAACATCTCCAAGCAGATGGGACAGATGAGTTGCTTCTCCAAGTTGTCCATGGTCTGCTGCTCTTTGGAAAAAGACTTATAATTCAAAGATGCGCTCATCTCCTAGCCGTCACAGTGTGCACCGCCAGGGAAGGGGTGCTCCGAATGGTCTCTATAAGGGTTTCCTGGAAATAATTCCAAGGATTGTGTGATCAAGTGTCCTTCATGTTTCTTTTGGTGGAGGACATTGTTTCAGGCCCAGGTTTGGAGTGGGAGCTGGGGCTGTTTTTAGCAGCTGGGGTCACGTGACAGAAGGCTGACTTGTCCATATAAGCCAGTGACAGGAGGACAGATTCTGACAGGTGACAGAGAACAGGAGCCAACATTCCTACCCCAGGGAGTGAAAAGAGTGAGTGGGAAGGAGGATTACACACTCCATTTAGACGGAGTTGGGAGGAGAAGGAGGTCGAAGCAGACAGTTGTCAACAACAAATGCGAATGAGTATGCCGAGGAGTCACAGAGCCCTGCCCTCTGTGAGTCTTTGGTAAGGACATGGTGACGGGTTTCTCCAGGACCAGGAAAAATGCAGCCCAGGCAAGAGTATAACTGTATAATGAATGCAATTTCTGTCTTGAGAATTTAGAAAGTGAGTTATCCAAGTAGCATGATCATATCATCTCAGGTGAAAATATACCTTGAAAATCATTATCCCAGCTTCACAAGGTCAATCATTGAAAATACTTGCTCAGTGTTAAATATTACTTCTTCACAAGGGTTGTGGTATGGAAAATATTCTAACTTAAAAACTGATTTCAAATCTTTTCACTATAAAAGCGTCTCCAAAGTAAAAAAATCAAATAACAGTGGATGTTTCCATTATTTTTAAAAGCTGTGTAACCAAACTCCAGTGTGTTCTTTTCTGTTTTACATTGCTTTTCCTCTTCCTTAACCTTTTGTCATCCTGTACCCTCACTCTCACCCCTATACACACCCCAAAATACAAAGAAAATGGAACAATCTTTAAAAGGTTAAAACAGTTTGCAATGACTGTCAGTAATGAGGTAGTAACTGGCACCTGGGGTAGACCCATTATCTCATTTTGATATATGACGGGTGACAGACATCAGTGCCATTGCCAACTGAAGGGAAAATGAAGTCCTGCTTCCATACCTGTTTCTTATCTGGTCTGAAATACCTACACCTCTGCATTTGCTTTGTCCTCCAAGTTGATTTTTTAAATGCTAGTTTCCTGGTGGTTTCTGATATTCTTGGTCTGTTCTGTTATTTGCCAAGATTTTGTGAAACAACTGTTTCATTAATATATATTTCATTAAAAATTTTAAATTATATTAAAAATGAAAAAGAAATACATGTCTATTTTTTATGTGATGAATTTGTAGCTTCATTCCTCTTTGATTTTAAAAACCTCAAATAATGAAGATACTTTGTTAACATATCCCTGATGTGCACTTAATTACTGGTAGAGACTATGTAGGTGTGACTGGTTAAGTGTGGTCTTAATGCTGTGTTTACTGAGAGCTTATTGAGAATCTAAAAAGCTCCATTAACTAATAATAAGTTATATATATTCATAAACATATCAGGGATCTTTGGAGAATTTTGTTATTCTTTTCAATATCTATTTAGCAACTATAGTGAAAGGGGAATTGGTAGAATCTTTTTACTGTTTTAATTCAGTTCAGTCAGCCTGGGCAGTTAATTGTGTTTATTATTGTGTGAGCTATGAAGGTCTGAGCACAATAAAAGAAAGTTTCTACTCTAAAAGCCCTTACAACCTAAAACAAAAAGCACTTAGCCCAGCTGGCGTGGCTTAGTGGTTGAACATCGATTTATGAACCAGGAGTCATGGTTTGATTCCTGGTCAGGGCACATGCCCAGGTTGTGGGCTCGATCCCCAGTGAGGGGAGAGGTAGAGTTATAGGAGGCAGCCAATCAATGATTCTCTCTCATCATTGATGTTTCTATCTCTCCCTTTCCCTTCTTCTCTGAAATCAATAAAAATATATTTTAAAAATAATAATAAAGAAAAGCACTTAAACTAATAATATAGTATAGCAGAGTCTATCCTTATAAGAGGAATTCATTCTTTCAAAAAAACATTCATTGAGTGTTTATCATGTGATTCCATTGTGCTGGGCTCTGGGGATTGAAAGACGAAGTAGACACAGGTCATTGTCCTCAAGGAGCTCAGTCTAACAGTAGAGATGAGGCATGCATATGCAGAACCACAGTATAAGACAACATGTTATAAAGAGCTACAGAATTTCAGAGCTGGAGGAGTTAGGAAGACTTCATGGGTGGGGTAGCTTTTGAATTGATCCACTGAGGAATTTAGGTGGGGCTTCCTAAGAGAAGGCACAGAAGCAAAGACTGTGAGCACAGGAGAGCTGGGAATGCCCAGAGTTGTATGGTGCTTTGGGCTGGAGTGCAGAACATAGTGCTGGCTCATTGGCAGGCCAGGCACACCAGGCTAAAGAGTTTTCAACACTTAATAAATTAGACAACAGGAAGTGTTAAAAGTTTCTCAGAGGGATGTTTCCATGAGAGCTGTGCATTGGCTAGATTATAATCTCACAGTGGTGGTTGGAACAGATAAAAGTGACAGTGACCTGGCTAAAGACCAGATGGGAGGTTGTTGCCAATAGCCTGGGTGAAAGGTCACAAAGCCCTGGCACCAGGCGATGGCAGTGGGGAAGGAAAGGAGGAAATGGACTCTGGGTTGACTACAAAAGTAGAACTCACAGAGATGACTCAGATGCCCTGAGTCTGAGCAACGAGCAATGAAATGGGAAGCTGCACAGTGAGTCAGAGACAGGCCTATTCAGCACTGATGGCCTCCTCGCTTTGTGATCTCAGGGAACTGACCTCACCTAGCTGTATTTCAGTTCTCTTAGCGATAAGTAGAGTACTTCAGAACCTAATTTAGCAGAATGAGTAAGGAAACCCCCCTCCCCTCTGAAACAGTATTAATTTTGACAAAGACAATCCCCAATTTGATTATTTAACATAGAGTTGATCCCTATCCTCTCCTCTTTTTCCCTCTGCTCCTTCTTGCTCTCTGCCTTTTACTGTTTCTTAGAACTGCCTCTGGAGGCTACACAGGAAACTAGAAAGAATCCCATAGGAATATGAGTGAAGTTGATGGGTAATTATTTCCTTTTCCTCCTCATCTGCTTTTCTCCATTCCTCCATCCTCTCTACTCTCAGAGACCAGCAATCTATATGGTGGGCATGTGAGCTGAGAATGGGACATGGCAGTAGCACTCTATTCTAGGGAGGAACCAAAAAATTTTAGTCCACTCCCAAATCATTCACAGAGTCTAAGAGACAGGTAGAATTCCGGAACTGAATCAGAATTAAAGTCTGGTTCAAGTCATTGGGATTTGGAGTGGACTTGGGCCTCCACAGAGACATGAAAACCAGCCTAATCTCCTGAAGGTATCCTGGACTCTATAGGAGTTGGTGCATGACATCCTCCCCTTTTCCTACCCCATCCCTCCCCACACTAGGACAAGGAGTTGAAGCCAAATGGGAGCAATTAGTTGAAACCCCAACTGCCCCTCATGCCTGAGTCTCACTAGACTGGGCAGGAGTATGTTTAGACATTTAGAAGCTGAAGCAAAACCACCACTGCTCTCACCTCCTCCAGCAGTTTCCCAATCCCCAGGTAAGTCAGAGGATGAAAGTTGGGTCTCTAAGAAGCTGAGTAATTCATCAAACAAAACAGAGAACTTATGGTCAGATAGAGCTAAAGGGAAGTAAAACATAGATACAGTTTGAAGTAAAGCAGCAAGGCAGAGAGGCCCTGGTGGAAGAGAAAACAAGAATTGCCTTATAACACGGACTCAACTCATGGCATCTAGAAAATACTTAAAATTTTCCTCTGTCTACATTGTCAGTCTTTTCAGTTTAGCTGTCTATCTGCCAATAGACAGTTTGAATATGTGGTTTTTAAATTTTTAATGAAAAAAATTTACAAAATCTAAAATTAAAGAGAAATGAACTACTTTGAAAAGGACTTAGCAGAAGCCAACACTATGGCATTTCTTTCATTAGTTTGCAGACTTCTGGCTGAAAGCTTTTTTTTTTTTCATTTTGATAATTACTCCTTTTCCAAATCTGTTGTTTATAAATTTTACTTCATCATAAATATCTCTGAGGAAATGTTTGAAAGCCAACATATTGTACTTCCCTCTGAATATTCCTTGGCATAATCCACATGCCAGAAATAAACAGTGACTACCAAAAAGGAGCAAATATTTTAGCTAAGGCTTTCCATTGGCCATGTCTGAACTCCTCACCTTGGCTCCAGGCCCTCCTTGACTCCATCCTCAGCATATACAATTCCCCTCTACCTCCTTTTCAACCCCAGTGTCCTAATTGATTTCTCTGAATTCACTCTTGCCTTCTGCAATCTATTTCTCATATGTCACTCCCTATTTAAATCCAATTAATGGTCTTATTACCCCTAGGATAAAGATATTAATCTTCCCTGTGGTCCCTAAGGCCTGATCTGGCTCTTATCTCTCCGACCTAACTACCCAATAGAAATAAGATCTGAGTGGTATATATGAGCTATATATATGATTTAAATTTCTAGTAGCCACATTGAAAATCAGAAACAAATAGAATTATTGCATTAATATATTCTATTTAACCCCCAAACATATAAACTATTATCATTTCAACATGTGATCAATATTTTTTAAAAATGAGATATCTGTAGAGATAGTTTTACTTTTTCCTTTCCAATCTAGACATGTTCTACTTCATTTTTCTTGCCTTATTACACTCACTAGAAACCCTAGAATGGACATCCTTGCTTTGTTCCTGATCTTAGGAGAAAAGCATTCATACTGTGAAGTATAGTGTTAGCTGTGTTTTTCATTGATGCCCCTTATCAGTTTGAAGAAGTTCCCTTCCCTTCTAAGTCTACTGACAGTTTTTAAAAATCTGGGATGGATGTTGAATTTTGTCAAATACTTTTCAGCATCTATTGAAATGATCATGTGGGTTTTCTTCTTTAGTCTGTTTAGTATGATGAATTAATGTTGATTTTGGAATGTTGAACCACTTTTATATTCTTGGAATAAATCCCACTTTGTCATGAATTCCATTCCACATCCAGGTTACTGATCCTGAGATCTTGTTTGAATTCTTGCTCACTCATCTGCCCTAAACATGTGTTGTCCACCTGGATTTTGGGTGCATACCTTCCCATTCTTTTGACTTATTGCTCAATTTTTGTTCTTTTAGTAATCTATAGTTTCACTGCCAGCTCCTCCTGTCAGCCATCTAGAACACCCAAAACTTGGGACATATCATCTGATAAAATGATACCCTACTTTGTAATTTGTTTCCCCCAAAATGATGAGAGTATATTTTAAGTGAATTACTATGCACTTTATTGAAAGACTTTATTGAAAAGAATAAAATGAGATAAAAAAAAACACACACACAAACACTGTCCTAGAAAATGAAAGATATACCAATAAAATACAACAGATTGTACACATTGGTAACAAAAACGTACAGGTCGCCTAGAACCCTGAAATGGACATTGGATAAAAGAATGATCATTTGTTAATTGTAATCCTCAAAAAAAATAATAATAATAATAATAATAATACCTCCGCCTTTGTCTAGAAGATTTATTTTTGTGTTTAGAACTACAGTATGAGTTCAACAGCTTTTTTTGTGGCTGTAGTCTAGAAAAATAGGGTATGGAGAACTTATTGCCAGAAGAGCCTTTGTGTGTATTCTGCTCAATCTCTGAACCTTTCAGTGAGTGTATGTGTTTTTGTTTAACTTTCCTCTAATTAATCCCCTTGGTGCTGATCTCTCTCTAACTCTCCACAGTTATTTCCCAGGAGAAAAATGGCATTAGAACTCTCCTCCATCAGCAAGCGCTGGGTTCAGGCCTGTCTCCATTTGGTCACCTCTCCTAGGTATACATTATCTTATATTCAGATTTGCCCAGAGCCAGCCACCTCACTGTACACAGTTGAGATGGAGCAGAATAGTCCTCGCTTCCACAGCTCAACCTAAATTTAAAGTAGCGCACTTTTCCAAGTTCTGTTTTTTGTTTGTTTTTGTTAGTGTTTATTTTCCATCTGTCAGCTATTCTAACTACGGGCAGCTTAGTCCTGGATAAATCCCTGGAAGTGCAGCCATCAATCGCAAAGGAATTCAAACGGCAAGATGTGACTGCAATCTGTCACCATTTTAGGAGAGAAAAAACAAAAAACGATTTCGTGAATTTCCCAAATAAGTGGGTCTAAACTTTTAAAACTTGAAGGATAAACGTCGTGCACCCATAACCCTCGTCTGAAAGTTTTATAGAGCGGTAACTTCAAACTAGCTGTACCCTTCACTTGCCCTATGGCTGACTTTCAGCAACATTTTAATTGAGAATCGAGAGGGGAAAAACGAGGTTAGAGGGGAAAAATAAAAAACTGGAGGATGCGGGCATCGATCCCGCTACCTCTCGCATGCTAAGCGAGCGCTCTACCATTTGAGCTAATCCCCCACCGCTGGCTAAGGCGCCTTATCTCTTCCCCTAGAGAGAGGTCAGCATACGTAGTCACGAAGATAAACATACTTCGATCACATTCCTGACCTTCCTCACCACCGAGGCCAAAGAAACAAAACACAATCATCTCTCCTTCGAGCCGGAATCGAACCAGCGACCTAAGGATGACAGCGGGCTCGCACCTACAGTCCTCCGCTCTACCAGCTGAGCTATCGAAGGGAGCGAAGGAACTTTGTCCTGACTCTTCCCATAACTTCCAGATATTTCCTGGCTTTAGTGTACTTTCTACCACGTTTCCTTCCTGATTTCCAGGTCCCTGGAGCATAAAACCTTCCACGCAGCCCTCCCACCTCCTCCGGCAGCCGGAAGCCGCTGGCAGTCGCTCGGGCGCCCGCCTCACGGGGGACGCAGAGGAGGCGGTCCGCGGCCCCGGGAGCCGCCGGCGTGACCGCGCTGGCTTTCTCCGCGAGGCTCAGGGGCCCGGACACGCCCAGGACGACCTGGACACACGCAGAAGGCTGCGTCCTGGCACCTCCGGCCGAGCGCAGACTCACTGCCGCGCTCGGAACTCGGACAGCAGGGCGCGCTTCCGGGGTTCGCAAAAGGCTTCACAAAGGAGCCGCTGCCGTGGGCCCAAAGTGGAGCGCAAGTGGTAGAAACTCCAAATGTTCTTTGTAATGTAATGTATATTAGAGAAATGTAACCACGGAAAGGACTTGAACCACAGAAAGTTGGTGGAGGGAATAAAAAGCGCGCTTGTCTCCTTCGAGCCGGAATCGAACCAGCGACCTAAGGATGACTCATGATTCGGAAATCAACTACAGTCCTCCGCTCTACCAGCTGAGCTATCGAAGGGACGGGCGACGGAGGTCCGCCTCCTGAGATTCAATATAAACAGGAGAGCGCGCCCAACCCGCGACGGAGGCGGATCTGCGCAGGCGCAACACGGTGCGGAGCGGGATGTGCTGCGTGGTTGTGCGCGTGCGCAGAAAAGTAGTACAGCTTTGCTGGCGGGAGCTCTGGACCTGGGGTGTCCAGGACACTCGGGTGTCCGAGAAGTGTGGTGCCAGGACTCAGGGACCCCGACGCCAGCCCCGCTTGCCTGGCGCCCTTTTCCTTTACTGCCGCCGATCGGGCGGCGACGCCTGATAAGGCTCACGACTCTATGGTCTCTATGCCCCCCCCCACCGCTTCCCCGGCACAAGGGGCCAGTGGCGCAATGGATAACGCGTCTGACTACGGATCAGAAGATTGTAGGTTCGACTCCTGCCTGGCTCGGCGTTTTGTTACCTCCCGTTTTAAAACCACAGATGATCACAACAATCCCCACACTGTGTCCCCCTCCCGACAGCATGACTTTCTGTGGCTCCTCCAAACCACAAATGCCCAGAGTGGTTTACGGCACGTTGGCCTTTCGCACCGTCGGCCGGGGGAGATGCTGAGAGCTGGGGCACTGACGCGACCCCGAGGCCAGCCGCCCCGCGGGCCGTGGAGGACAGAGGGCCGCCCCCGCGGGCCCAGGTGGGAAGCCGCAAGGTGAGGCCCGCGCACACTTCCCGGGACGAGCGGTCCCAGTTCCAGGCCGGCTCCCGCCGGGGCCAGGGCTCGGGTCGGTAAAGGTAGTTGAAGACTTCACAGCCCCTACGTCACCAGAGGCACCCCCCCATTCCCCTCACCCCCCACCCCCGGCTGTGCGGAGGCCAGAAGTTCAGGTTCTTTAAACGACTTTCTGATCTGGGGCCTGTTTTACTTATTTGATTGTTAAAGGCACTGAGCCCTCCTCGGTTGTAAGCACAACGTGAAACTCATTGGAGGGCTTCGCTTCTGCTCTCAAGCGTCTTTGAACCAAGAGGGCCTTGTATTGGTTTGAGCAGACAGTCTTTTTTTTTTTTTTTTTTTTTTTTTAATTGTATTCATCTTATTTGTGGAGAGGAGTTTAGAATTCTTTCGTAAGACTCTCCAAGTAAGATAGCAATTCCTAAAAATCAAAGCTTTGATAAAAAAGCGAAGTTCGGGAAGAGATGAGGAAAGGGCTGGTTTTTAAGTGGGAAGACGACTTCCTTAAGGCTACACAAATATGGTTAAAAGCAGTTAAAAATGTAGGGCTTGGGGGACAAGCACAGGCTTACTTGAACAAAATAATGGTGGGTTTTATTTGTTTCCTACTGAACATTTTGCCATTTTTGACAAATCTTTGAAGTTAATAGTGTTTCTGAGAGTTTTAAAACAGTACGATCTCTGCGGGAAGTTGAGAGATCCCGCCTCTCTCAGGCTATGTGAGGACACGGAAGTTGAAAAGTTTGCACGTGGGAAGAGGGTTACACCCCTCCCCTCAGTTTGTGGACAGAACCTTGTACGCTTGGGCCAAGAGAAAAGAGCCTCCGCCTGACTGGTACCTTTTCACTTCACAAGGGTGGCGTTTGTTACCTGCCGAGGCCGCTGCCACCGCCTCTGTGCCCGAAACCCTGGGCCCTCCCAGAAGCCCCTTTTGATGCCCCCTTTCCTCCATCAGCGGCCTGACCACATTCCTGGGGGCAAAGACGGTGCAGGATTCCTGGCTCTCGTACTTGTGACAGAAACTCGCACAGTCAGTGTAAGCAAGGGAGACACTGCTTGTAAAGATACAGGGTGTCCCCGGAAAACCAAGGATGAGATGAACCTGGGCCTTCCTAAGGTTTTTCTCCCAGTGCCTCTCAGCTCCTCTTGAACTCCTCTAGTGCAGCCATTTTCAACAGTGTGCCTCGAGAATCTGTAAGACATGCAGCACCCGACTGTTTAGTCAGGGGCCCTGACCTCTTTTCCCTTATATTATCAAATAAAAATACGACAACAGCCAACAACAATAGCCGTCAATGTGAATGAATCTAGTTATACCTATTTTATTTTATTTTTTGTCAGATTAGCAAAAATGTATTTTTTGGTGTGCCACAGAATTTTAGTAATTTTAGTTTAGGTGTACCAGGAGATGAAAAAGGTTGAAAGTCGCTGCTCTAGTGCAGAGTTGAAAACATGGTGCTGCCTCCCCCGCAAAGTTCCTGACCTTTCTCTCTCACAGTCTGTTGCTATAGACTGAATACTTGTGTCTCCTCAAATTCACGTGTTGAAAACCAAACGCTCAATAAGAGGTGGGGGCCTATGGGAGGTGATTAGGTCATGAGGACAGAGCCCTTACAAACAGGATTAGTGCACTTATAAAAGAGGTTCGGGTGGGGGTGGGCCAAAAGGGGTCAATAAGAGAAAAAAGGAGACATATGGTAATACTTTCAACAATATAGATTTTAAAAATAAAAATTTAAAAACAAATAAAAGAGGTTCCAGAGAGATCCCTCCTCTCTACCACTATGTGAGGACACAGATGTTAAAAAGTTTGCAAGTGGGTAGAGGGTCTTCACCAGAACCTGACCATGCTGGCAGCCTGATCGTGGACTTACAGCCTCCAGAACTGTGAGAAATAAATTGTTTATAAGCCACCCAGTCTGTGGTGTCTATTTTGTTATAGCAACCCAAACAGACTAAGACCTTTATCAACTAGAGACTCACTTCTCTTTTCAGTCCTGACTGCAAAACGCTTCATTGTCTGGCCTCCATTAGATGCACACCCCTGTCCCATGAAATGTGTCCAAGGTCAAAATCATATGCAACCATCAGGGCAGCTCACCTCTAGGCTTATGGTTGGGAATAAATGATTGTACCCCCTCCTTCCTAGGATCCCAGTGAAAAGATAATAAAGATATGCAAAAAGAAAAAAGACTGTTGTAGTATGGAAAACAACAAAGTACAATTAACAAACCTGAGATTTTGATTTCTGTGATTATATACCAAATCACTACATCAAAAGATCTTGATGAAATGAATCTCCAGCCCCTCACCTCCATTAAGGAGGTTAACAGGAGCCATTTGTTATGTACAAATAGGTAATTGTAAAGATAGCTAGAGGGGGAGGAGGGTCCCTCAGCCCAGCCTGCACTCTTTCGCAGTCCAGGACCCTTCAGGGGGTGTCCACCGAGCAGGCCTACGCTGGCAGTCAGACATCTCCCGAGGGGTCCTTAGCACCGCGTCGGAGGCAGGAGAGGCTCCCACCACTGCCACTGCACTCGCCAGCTGTGACCTGGCTTCTGGCTGAATGGCGCTCTCTCGTGGGAGCGCACTGACCACCAGGGGGTAGCTCCTGCGTTGAGCATCTGCCTCCTGGTGGTCAGTGAACCATAGTGACCAGTCGTTCCACCATTCGGTCAATTTACATATTAGGGTTTTATATAGGATTAGGAATTTCTAAAAAACAAACAAAAAAGAAACAAAACAAAGAGCTTTATGAAGGACTCATGGTCCAAATGAAAGCAAACTGAAATTGGGCACAATTGATGGCATGTGTTACAGGCTAATTTGCATCCCCCTTTCCTCCAAATTCGAATATTAAAGCCCTAGCCCTTAATACCTCATAATGTGACTGTATTTGGAGATATGGCCTTTAAAGAGGTAAAGAGAGTTAATTTGGTGGGCCATAAACCAATGTGATTAGTGTTTTTATAAAAAGAGATTAGGACACAGAGAAAGAGACACCAAACGTGCACACATAGAGAGAAGGCTATGTGAACACATAGCAGGAAGATGACCATCTGCAAGCCAAGGAGAGAGACCTCATAAGAAATCAAACCCCCCGACATCTTGATCTTCCACTTCTGGCCTCTGCAACTATGAGAAAATAAATTTCTATTGTCTAGCTACTCAGTCCGGTATTTTGTTATGGTAATCCTAGCAAACTAATATAGGGGTGGTGAGGAAAAAGAAATTTGCTTCTTTCCTGCATTCTTTGGTATTGTTTGCATGTAGTAAAAATTGTTTAAAAATAGAGGAACTGATACCCAGAGATGTGAAATGACTTACCTTCAATAACAATACACAATGGCAGATGAGGTCTCAGATCTCCTGAGTCACCAGCCAGGACCCTCTCCTTGGTCTCCCTGTCCCCAGTTGAACACTTGAATTACAGAGAGTGGACTGCTTCCTAGGAGCAAGGAGGTTGAAAGATGGCTTTTGAGGCTAGGCTTGGTCAGACGATGACCAGGACGTTCTGGGAGTAAAAGAATGTTCCATTTATTAAAGTGAACTCTCTTACCTCTAGAACCCAAAAATAAAATCCCTAGAATTTGTTAACAGTGGTGCTTCACAGAAGTTATGACAAGGTACAGTTTAAAAAGTACCTGACACGTATGCATAAGAAAGCATTTTCAAGGAAACTGTTTTATAGATCAGGAAGCTCTACCAAGAAATAATAATAAATAATTTCTTCAGGATGACCCCCCAGATTGAGGGAGTGGGGCTGAAGTCAGATTTACTGAATTCTCATCTGTGGCTTTCTGTAAATATGTACTGTGTCCAAGAAAGCTACTTGTGAGAAACCACAGATTGTTTCTGAGATCAGAAAGGAAGCCATTCTGGAGAACTCTAGGGGAGATGTAGTTGATTCTTGTTACTTGAAGTTAGGTTTTATAAAATCACCACAAATATTGATTTAGTGAATACTGAACTATTGCTGCTAGAGGAATATAGGGTTAAGTTCCTGTGAGCCTCTGTACACAACATTTTCATTAAGTGATCAATACATGCATTGTTTTATATGTGTTTCTGTTTAGACGCTGTATTTAGTGTATTATTGATTCATTAACATTGAACTCACAGCCAACAGAGGCTTATCTAACATACATATTTTCTCCATAAGGTACATTATAACTTCTTACACTTAGGAACACTAGGCAACACTTCTGCACTATGCCTTTAAACATTTTATTTTCTATATATCTTTATTGATTTCAGAGAGGAAGGGAGGAGAGAGAGAGAAAGAAACATCAATGATGAGAGAGAATTGATCAGCTACCCCCTGCATGCCCTACACTGGGAATCGAGCCCACAACCCGGGCATATGTTCTGACCAGGAATCATGACTTCCTACTTCACAGGCCGACACTCAACCACCGAGCCACACCAGCTGGGCTGCCTTTAAACATTTTAAATAGTGAAATCACCAACAAAAAGCACAAAAATGAAAAAAAATGTGGCACTTGTTTACAGTAAGAGCTGAGCTAAGAAGGCAAAACATTGCCTTGTTCAACCTCAGCTGGTCAACTGAAGTTTCTTGTCATTCTGTGTATGTCTGTGCATGATCATGAAATGAATTTTGGCAAGCAGGCAAATTTTCAAATATGGAATCTGTGAATGAAGAAGATTGACTGTATTATTAAGTCAAACTAAATCCTGAATTATATACCAAATCACTACTTCAAAAGATTTTGATGAAACCAATCCCCAGCCCCTCACCTCCATTAAGGAGGGTCATAGGAGCCATTTGTTAACAGAGAGATGGGTGACCTTTGCCAAGCTACTCAACTCTTCTGTGTTTTAGTTTCTTAGTCTGAAAAATGGGGAATGATGATAATGGTGATAGTCCTTGTCTCATAGGTTGTTGTATTAAGCGAATAGGCTTATATAAGGCCAATACAAATTTATTATGGTAGTGTCAGGTACAAAGCACTACAATTATTGGTAATTATTATTCATTTGACAGATTTATTTTTAATTTATGAAAGAATGAATCATCTTTTTCAAATACAAAAGCACCTGTGGTCCTAAAAGCCATCACTTTCCACCTCCTTTCAAATCCTTTAGTTTGGGAAAAGGGATGTGCTGAGAAGGAGGTAAGAGAACTAAGAAAAGCGGAAGCTAAGCAGGGAAATGAATCATTTTTCTCTTGTATTAAAACTTTATCTCTTGCCAAAACCGGTTTGGCTCAGTGGATAGAGCGTCGGCCTGCGGACTGAAGGGTCCCAGGTTTGATTCCGGTCAAGGGCATGTACCTTGGTTGCGGGCACATCCCCAGTGGGGAGTGTGCAGGAGGCAGCTGATCAATGTTTCTCTCTCATCGATGTTTCTAACTCTCTATCTCTCTCCTTTCCTCTCTGTAAAAACTCAATAAAATATATTTAAAAAAAAAAAACTTTATCTTTTGACGTGTCTTTCAGGTAATTTTTTTGTGGCTAAAAATTAATTTCCTAATATGCTGTATATTAATAAATTCCATCCTAAATACAAATAAATTTTTTACAAATAAATTTACAAATAAATTCCATCCTAAATACAATAAACTTTATTTTCTTTCTAAAAATATATATATTTTTTTATTGATTTCAGAGAGGAAGGGAGAGAGTCAGAAACATCAATGATGAGAGAGAATCATTGATCGGCTGCCTCCTGCATGCCCGACACTGGGGATCGAGCCCGAAACCCAGGCATCTGCTCTTGACCAGAACCCAGGACCCTTCAGTTCTCAGGCCAACATTCTATCCACTGTGACAAACCAGCTAGGGCACAATAAACTTTTTAAATGAAGGCATTTTACATAGAACTGTTATGCTAATAAGTTAATATATCAACAATATTTTTATTGTCTGATGGCTTTCATTTGTTACTTTTAAACCTAGATTCGCTTTAAAATGTTACTTTCTGCAATTATAAATACCCCTGAAAAATGACAGTTTAATAAATAGTTAACATATATATGTACAAATAGATAAAAACGTTAAATGTTGGAATTTCATTATTGAAGTAAAAATCTGCCCTAAAAATTTTCCCCAATTCTTCTTCACCAGGAAAAATGAAACTTTGTCTGACAAAAATGAATTTGGACATCTCAGGAGCGGAGATACTTGGATACCAGAGCAGACTACTCAGAAGTAAAGGGGAGACCCCTCACAAGGTAAGATCCCTTCTTTCAGGCCCTGAGAACAAAGATGTGTCTGGTGGGCTCTCAGGCATTAGAGAAGCTGATAACTGGATTTTCAACTATTAGAAAGCTCAGTTGACAGCCCAGTGGTGAGCAGAATGTGTTAACATCTGTCCTGTAACTGCTGATATATGATTCTAGGAATTTAGTTTTGCTTCTTGAGGACAGCCCTGGAACAGCATGAAAATTTCAAAAAGTTGTGTCACACTTCTACCCATTCATCTGGCACTGAAGATGTTTAAGTCTCCTTTTAGGAAAAAAGCTTTTCTCAGAAATAGTATATTTCTGAGAAAATTAATCAATTAACAGGTACTTATTAGTTTTCTACTTTGTTTTTAGCACCGTGCAAAATACAGATGTAAGATGTAGTTCTGGAAATCAATGCTAATTTGAGCCATCTACAATTTGGAAATGGATGTGTTTAACAGAAACTGGTTATCCAAATAGGTATAATCTAAATTTTTGGTGCTTCATAGTCTAGAACTGCTCAGGAACAATATGAAGATTAATGTGACTTAGGTGCGTAGGAGGGCTACAGACGGAAAGGGGGGCTTTTGGAGAGCAGGAGGAGGTTTCTCTGCTTGGAGGACTACTACCCTGGAAAGGGACATTTGTCTTTATATCAGTGAGAAGGGAGGGCAGGGTGCTGAACTTTAAAAAAACAACTCTGTAATTGGATCAGAGCCTTGATTGGCTGCCGAGCTAACATATTTAATTTTCGCATTAATTTAATGCTAAGCCTCCCTTAAAAACCAAGGATTCTGGGAGCTTTTGTGTTTCTAGCAGTAGGGACTTCTCTATTCTATGGAAGCACTAAAGATAAAAAAAAAAAAATGTTTCAATAAATTACCTTTCTATACATTCAAATAATGAATGTGGTCATTATAAATTATTTCTATTCGTCAGTACACTCAGAGAATTGTTTGAAAAGTAATTTTGTTCTCCCTTTCCCTATTAGCATTGTGATTATTTGTGCTTGAAGTTGGGGGGAGGGGGAAGACATTTCTTTAAGAATATTCCGTTACCCAGACTATTTCCAATCTCTCCCTCCTCCACCAGTTGTGTTATATTTATAATAGTTCAGTTTATCTAAAAGACCAGTAAATGCCTTTGAGACAGCATGGAGAGACCTAGAGAGTATCATGCTCAGTGAAATTAGTCAGAGAAAGACAGGTATCACATGATCTCACTCATATGTGGAATCTAAGTAACAAAATAAACTGATGAATGGAGTGGATCCAGAGACATGGAAGCATGGAACAGAGTGTGGAATCTCAGAGGGAAGGTGGGGGAGGGTGGGTGAGTGGGAGGTAATCAACCAAGGACCTTGTATGCATATATGCATAACCCATGGACACAGACAATGGAGTGGTGAGGGCCTGGGGCAGGGGGTGGGGGACGGGCTGGAGGAGGTCAATGGGGGGGTGGGGAAGGGGATATATGTAATAGTTTCAACAATAAAAAATTATTAAAAATAAATAAATAAAAGACCAGCAAAGGTTAAGGTGGAGAGTTGGCAGTGGTGAGCAGAGAGATTAGGAGATAAAAAAGAAAAATGTTTAGGGGACAATGGGGGGATAAAGACACATATGTAATACCTTAATCCAGCGGTTCTCAACCTATGGGTTTCGACCCTTTTGACGGTCGAATGACCCTTTCACAGGGGTCACCTAAGACCATCCTGCATATCAGATATTTACATCATGATTCATAACAGTGGCAACATTACAGTTATGAAGTAGCAACGAAAATAATTTTATAGTTGGGTCACAACATGAGGAACTGTATTTAAAGGGCCAGAAGGTTGAGAACCAATAAAAAATTTAAAAAAAAAAGGAGAGAAAGAAATGAAGGTCAAACGGAAGAAAGGTAGAAATGGGAGAGGGAGAGGGACAGGGAAGGGGATAGAGTACTGAGAAATGGGGAAGAGAAGGGACAAGGAGACAATGAAGAAACAAGTGAGGAGCACTGACCCATTACTAAACTTCTGAAGGTCAGAAGTTTGACAGTGTCACTGCGCTAAAATCAAGGTGGTAACAGGGTTGTGTTTCTTTCTGGAGGCTCTAGAGGAGAATCCATTTCCTTGACTTTTTCAGCTTTTAGAGCTGCCTGTATACCTTGACTCATGGCCCCATCCTCTTCCCCCTTGAAATCATATCTCTGACCATTCTCTGATCTTCAAGTGCATTTTTCTGACCATTCCTCTATAGTCACACCTCTCCCACTCCATAACCAGGAAAGGTTCTCCATTTTTAAGGACCCAGGAGATTAGATTGAGCCTGCTTTCATAACCCAGGATAATTACCCCATCTCAAGGTTCTTAATAATCACATTTACAAGGTTCTTTTTACCATGAGAGGTGATATATTCACAGATTCTGGGAATTAGGACATGCGTATTTTGGGAGGCCATTATTGTGCCTACCACAGAGATCATGTAGCCTTCATTGGAACTCTCTGTAGGTCAGATGATCATGTATATCCAGACTAGGCCATACCAACTGTGTTTTAGCCTGCATGTCATTTGAAATGTAGAAATAGAATGTCATTTATTCTCAAAGAATTAAGAAATGCATATTTTGGTGAAGAAAAAAAATGCATATTTTTATTATGTTCTAATGTAAGACAGCAAAAATAAATGGATGAATTATAAAACTTTATATGAAATCCCCTACTCAGGTAGCCTGGAGACCAGGATTAGGTAGTGAGCCACTAAAGTGGGTAGTTCATTCGACCCTGCATGAACCAGGGCCATGCAACCATTGCTGAGGATCATGGTCAGCATATCCCTTCTTTCCTTAATGTTTCTCTGCTAAGAAGTTTGTGGATTCAGAATAACTGCTGGTGATTCCAGATGGCAGCTGTTGCCCCTTGACTCCCAAAAGATGTTTAAGTGGCCCCTCCTCAGATTAAGAGTTGATGATCCTTGTGTCTATAGCTAAGGGACATTCTGTGTAATTCATTTCCTCATTCATAGGTATTCATGTGCTTGCATTTGCCACACATCACTGTAACTAAAAACTAGCCTTTGTGAGAAATATTGGTCAGGACCCCTTTAGGAATTTAATTTCACTATTTGATTCTGATTCTGATTCATGTCCTTTTCTCATCTTAACCATTCTTGTACCAGCTCCCTGAGCAATCTGGGAGTGGAAGTAAAAAACTCCGTGTGAGAGAGAAAAATGAGGTCTGAGAGAGAAAGAGAAGCCGAGCTTTGTTATGTGCAGGCCTGGTGCATGAAATTCATGCACTCAGGGGGTCCCTCAGTCTGGCCTGCTCCCTCTCACAGTCCGGGAGCCCTCAGGGGATGTCCAGCTGACAGCTGGCCTAAGCCATCAGTCGGATATCCTTAGCACTGCTGCGGAGGCGGGAGAGGCTCCCACCACCACTGCTGCATGAGCCCGGCTTCTGGCTGAGCAGCGCTCCCCCTGTGGGAGCACACTGACCACCAGGGGGCAGCTCCTGCATTGAGCATCTGCCCCCTGGTTGTCAGTGCACATCATAGCAACCGGTCATTCCACCATTTGGTCGATTTGCATATTAGCCTTTTATTATATAGGATAGGCTTGACCTTTGCAGTCCTCAGGAAGGAAATATAATGACTCAAATTACCCACAGGTAGAGCTATTTATCTCAGAGTACTGAGCTCATCACTTGGGCTGTTAGTATTTGGTATGTTCATAGGTCTTGTTGAGTGAGAGTTTATATATAGAAGAAATTCACATCACATTTTCCTATGAGTACCAACATATACAAATTTATGCAAGAGCACCTTATATTTGTTAAACACTTGACTTGTCAGCATTCTTTAACCTCAACTCTTTCATCTGGTCTCACTGAAGATGACAACAGATATGAAAACAGAGTCATAGGGAGGTTAGCTATATTATTCTCATCTCACTTGATCAAAGGGATAGTTTATTAGAACTGAGATTTGAAAGTTTCTTTACTTTCAAGCCAGGGCCCTTTCTACTTGATTTTGTTGATTTAAAAAAAATTCCAGTAACTCAAGAGTTAGAGCAGAGTTTTAATGACATCAGAATTGTAAGAGGTATCACACCAATTCTCACAATGTATATTTAACCTTAATTAACTGTTAATTGGTGGTAGGGGAACAAGAAACAGAAAAAAATACATTTCATAATATCATATAAAAACACAACAAGATCTTGAAAATACAATGTCATAGAAAGATCTAAGAAAGACCTTGAAAAGCAAACACTTTTGCTGCTGTACTATTCAGAAATAGTACATAATGAATATCTGGATCAAATAAGGAAATGTAAAGATGACCTCTAAGTTTAAATGTTTTACATGCACAGAGATAAATATTTTCTCATCAATGTAATTAATCCCACCAAAAATGGGATAAGTGATATGCCTTTAAATGTAGGCTATAGAATTTAGAATTCTACCCTTTACCTCACGTGTTGTTTTTCTTTAGTTTAGCTAACCTAGGTCAGTTATGCAGAAATAATTTTTACATAAAAATGATCAACACATTGTTTGGGACTGGCTTGAGCGCATAATGATTTTCCAGATCATTTATAACATTGAACCAGGTTGGAGTTTTGTTTTTGTTTTTATGCCAGTCTAAAAGTACACACAAAACCTGTTTCTTCCTGGTTTTATTTGCCAGTTTTCAACAAATTAAAATTTTAAATCTTTCAAAAATGTACTTTAAAATAATATGGTTTGTCTTTTTTACCTAATAATTTCTTCCTGCCTCTTTAAATATTTCTCTAGCCATATTGAATATTGACAGTGAAAAACCTCCACACATGCAAAATTCCTCCTAAGTTCTCGTACATATTTTGCTGATATTTATGGAAAATATGAATATTGCATTTAGCTAACTAGATGAAAGTGGCCTTTGTTTCAGAATATTGTTTTAGTCTGTAAGGAGTGAGTTCTGGCTCCCATAAAGGGCAGGCTCCTAAAGCCTGTCCCACGCCACTGCTTTACCTCATGCAAGGAGCATCAAACAACTCTTCAAGTCTTTATTCATTGAAATGGAATGTTTCGTTAGGAATTCTACTCAAAGAGTAAGTCTGCTTACTGAGAAAGTTATGTAGGGAAAGTTATCTTTCCCTAACCTAAAAATAAAATACAAATGTGGAAAAGTTCACAGCATTTCATGCCCCCTGTCCTCTCCCCATGACACCTGGAGGCATGGTTGAACCAAGAGGACGTACTGCAGACCCTCAGCGGGCTCAATATTAAGAGTCTGTGCAATAACTTCGAGGTCCTTCTCTGATTAGCTGTGTTTTCTCATTTGCATTTGTAGGCTGAAGAACAACTGGAAAGTCCAAATCTAAAAATAAACAAAGCAAAACAATAAATATCCTCTTATCATGCTATGTTTTCTTTAATGGGGCAAGTGGTGGATATTTTTGTTGAAATGATGATTGGCAAATCAATTCAACTCGTAAGATATTGAGGATGGTTATCATTTAAAGGACTTCAGAAGGGAGGAGACACTGTCCTTACTCTTCTATGAGTTCTATCAATTATAGAAATATAAAACCAAAGCACTGAACCCAGTTTTCTGTTTGAGGCAATTGCTGAACTTGGTTTAGTTTTTAATATCTTATGGGAATGAGGATAGACCCACTACATATCATATAGACTATAATATATATATATATTATATATAATATATATATTTATATATATATATTTATATTTATATATATAATAGGAAAAATGCCCCCTAGAGTTGTGCAGTGCACAATATCATATAAGGCTCTCGTCGGGAGAGAGACCAAAACCCAGAGTTTGCTTAGATAAAGAGTCTAATAGGAAGCTCCCTACATAAAGCCAATACTCAAAATGATTTTGTGCTCTGTAAATCACCATACCTCTAAATCTGCAAGGAAATTTGTTAGTCTTGAGTTGTGTTGAGACATTTACTACATTTGCTGTTCAGCATTCACCATGCTTTAAAAACCAGAAAAAGGACACAAAGGAAGATATTAAATTCTTCCTCTTTTTCACTGATTCTCACTTCCCTTCCTACTCCCTCTATATGAAAAAAGAAAAGTCTCCACCTAAACCTCACACCTTATACAAAAGTGAGCTCAAAATGGGAATAGATCTAAATGTTAAACATAAGACTTTTAGAAAACAATGAAGAAAATCTTCATGACATAGGCTTAAGCTAAGAGTTCTTAGATATGACATCAAAGCATAATCCATTAAAAACATTAATAAATTTTTCATCAAAATTTTTTCTCTGCAAAGCAGCAGCAAAAAAAAAAAAAAACACACCCCAATATGTAGCTATAATATTTTTGTAAAACAAACAAAACCCCCTATAGTTACACAAAATTTTTTTTTAAGTTGTGATCCTTGAGGAGCTGGTGCCAGAAGGTTTATATAAACTTGCCTTTCTTTGACTCTGTACCTGCCTGTGGTGGTTGAATTTTTATGAGTATGTCTTACTTTTCATACAAGGTCCCAAACCTCCCCATCATTGGTAGCTTTCAAATGAGGTTGGGCCGCAGTCTGCTAGAAAAATTGTGGGGAGATGAGGGTTGACACCTTGGACTCCTTCCAACTCTAAAATCTTAGGATTTTATGATTAGATCCAACATAAGATAATAAAAAGTCCTCTAAGTGAGAATATGTTTGCTATATTTTATTCTATTTCAGAATCACCAAAATAAAATAAGCAAAGCTCCAATGTCTTACATGTGCCTTCTAATGGACTCAAATCTTGATGTATGCTGCTTATCAGTTGTCACGAGTAACTTGATATCCAAGTGACTAGTAGCTATTTTCTTAAACAACTTTAAGTGGGTCTTCTTTTGCAGAGTGGAAGAGACCATAATCCATTAATAGGATCAGAGTCCAGACAGTATATTCTTCACATGGAATCTTCGTTTACATCCTCACAAGCCTTAAATTGCGCTAATTTTACCAGTAAACTACATTAAGTCTTTGAATTAGTGGAATAAAAGTCTGAAACTAACTAATGCACTTCACTTCAAATAAGGCATAAATTCTCATAATGAAATGTTAGACTGAGGAGCAGTGGTGGTGGATTTACTGCAGTTAATGAAAGTTAAGCTTCAGGGACCCTAGAAATATGTTCACATTTTTTGTAGATTTGCAAAAGTAAAATGTTTTCATCATAACAAAACACTGTCTTTTTCCACTTTACTTTTCCTCCATTATGCTTTTCTTCTTGATGAGTGGCAACAGAGGGGCTATAGACATTTTGGAGATTCGGTTAAGGGGAGATATAGTTGGGGATAGGTTTCCTTTGGGTTTAGTGAGATATGATTTTGTGGTTTGCAGCAACTCTGTGTATAATTATTGGTAGCCATACTGGCATAGGGATGGCTTTAGGGATAAGCTTGTAACTCAGTATGCCAATCCACTTGTTGAGGGGGCACGAAGATTCAAGGTGGTGTCACACAATATGAATGTGTCGGTGGGCTCTTATCCTGGCAGTATTGGGTGATGGAGGGGAAACAAGGTTTGAAATGTGCAGTCAGAAAATGGTGTGTGGAAAATTTTTTCCAAATTTTATGTTATATATGAAAGCAACTAATTTTCGCAGATTTGACAACAATCCCTAAAAATTTAGACATTAGCAATAATGAGTTGCAAAACTGTAACTTTTCTCATCTACAATCATAAAAACAAATTGATCAAACATGCTAGAAGAATTATTTTTCTATTCTTCTTACAGAAAATGATATTATGAAAGTATTGTTCAGTGAAGAGGCAAGCAAAGAATATGCACCCAGAAAGCATAGGGTAAAAGTATTATAGAGATGTGCCAGGCACTTAATTAAACTATTGCTGTTTTTCTAGATTTTGTGATATTTATGTTATCTGTCAGTTTTTTAAAATATATTTTATTTACTTTTTACAGAGAGGAAGAGAGAGAGAGAGTTAGAAACATCGATGAGAGAGAAACATTGATCAGCTGCCTCCTGCACACCTCCTACTGGGGATGTGCTCACAACCACCTAAGGTACATGCCCTTGACCGGAATCGAACCTGGAACCTTTCAGTCCTCAGGCTGACGCTCTATCCACTGAGCCAAATCAGTCAGGGCTATCTGTCAGTTTTTAAGCTTTGCAGTTTGTTGTGATTTCTTCTTCTCATTCTAAATAAATATTTACTTTCTGAATTTAATTTTGCATTTGTAATTTTGTGTTCTTTTTCATAAAGAGGACTGTCCCCAAATTGTATAAGTTTAAAGCCCTACAAAACCTGGATTAATTCTGCATTGGAGCTTTTAAGTATTTAGGAGTGGAATAAAACTTTTTTCTCTTGGCTAAATCTTCTTTGGGAGGGTGGTCTATTTTATTCGTCAGTTTATTTTGTTCATTATATTCCACTTATAAGTGAGATCATGTGATACTTAGTAATACAGTAAAATGTGATAATAATTTACTTAGTCTAGAATCTGACCTCTGCAATGGAATTGATAGCTCTGGGGGGCATCAGAACTGAGAACAGTGAGAGACACATAGATTTATCACCAGTCACCCTGCAGGAAGGAAACCTGGGTGGAATTTGGCACCGAGGATGAATTTCTGTTCCAGAAAAGAAATCTGCAAAGAAGGTCCGCTGAAATGACCTTTGGAACTTTGATCTAATTTAAAAGAGGGAAAACTTTGCCTTGGCTGGTGTGTTCAGTAGTTAGAGCACCAGCCCACGCACCACCAAAGATTCATAGGTTTAATTCCTGGTCAAGGGCATGTACTTGGGTTGCAGATTCCATCCCCAGCCCCAGTCAGAATTTTAAAAATTAAAAGAGGAAAAACGTTGAGGCTTTTCAAAGACGTGTGGACACTGGATTTGTGATACCTAAGTTCAATTCACCTAGTTTTGGGTTCCACAGTATAAACGACAAGTTAAAGTTGCTCTTTACAGTGGATGATAATGACAGTGCTCTCCTTCCTATCCTCTGTCAGTGAGTGAGTACTGGATAGGATTGATGGATATTATGGGAGATGCTATGAATTATGGGACCAGAGACCTCTGACATGATCTTTCAACATTTTACCTGCCTCAAAGAGCAGTTAGGATTAATACACTGAGCTCATCATTCTTAAACAAGATGTGCCAAGGCCATTCACTGGCCCTTTTCTGAAGAGGAGTTTGCATATATGTATCTCTTTTTAACCCATGTATGAGTAATACTGCTTGCTTGTGCTTTTTGATATTTATGCCTCCATTAAAAGACTTGTTCTTTTATATCCCAAATAAGGCAAAGGAAACTTATGATCACATTTCACTGTGGGCCCATACTTTGACTCCAGGGACAGTAATAAAAAATTGTAATAGCAACCATCATTTGCTAGACTGATCACCCAGCGGTCCCCATAAGAAGGGGTCACAGGTTACAGGGAAATCCCTTCCATCCTCTCTGACTGCCCCCCTACCCCCCAATCCTAAAATGGTGTAAGACTAAGCATGATTCACATGATTAAAGACTCCTTCCTTGAAGCTGGAGTCAGGGTGGATAGTAACTGGATACTACTTAGCATCACATTTGATTGGGAACAAAAGATGCATGCAAGCCTTTAAGCAGTCTGCTGCTTGATGTCATGAAATTTGTTTCATTGTGATGCAAAGAATCAGAGTATGGTGCAGTCCAAAGTGCACCATTCCCAATTTCAACAGTTATGCCAACACTGGGCCACTGTCTGAATTACCAAGTAATTCTCTTATTTGGCTGTCCAGGGTTCTTTGTGATTTAGTGATAGTCCATAATTCAGAATAATGATGCATTCTACAGGAGAAAATGACAGTAAAATTATGGCTACAAGATAAAGGACAATGGCAGGTTTGACTCCAGCTTGTTTAAACAAAATCATTTTTCAGAGAATGTGAAATATTTCTGGTGGTGTAAATTCTGTGAGATTTTATCATTTGCTACATTTTTTTCGTTATTTCTAGGCAAAGTGAATTTGAAGAATCAAGTAATATTTCATGGATATGTACATATATATATGTGGATATATACATATATAGACATGTGGGGGTGGTTTAACAAAGGAAATAGCCCTGTTTACATAGGACAATATTCTTGATGCTGGTTTAGGGCAAGCTCTAAAGTATAGGTTTGGAAGGAAGCTACATTTCCAGGGGAAAAAGACTATGCTCCCCCAAATCTACCCAAAACTCATTATAAAATAATCAAAAAGAAGAAAAGTGACAGGTTGCTGACTTTTCTTGATGTCCATTCCCTTCTATTTGAATAAAGATCCTAAAGAAACAGGCTGCAATGCTTCTTCTGGGAGAAATTTCTACCTTGGTTCTCCTACCCCTGGGCACTCCCAATCCTCCCTGAACCCAGAGCTCACACTCTTGTAATGAGACCATGAATTATACTAGCTTTGCATATTGTACTAGATCAGCATATTTCATGATTTCTTTCTAATGGTGTCAGGCTCTGTTTTTCTCTGTTGCTGCTAAAAGTAACTATTCTTTCATCCTCTGCAAAAGAAGTACCAAAGCTGACAGTCTATGGCAGTGGTTCTCAACCTTCCTAATGCTGCAGCCCTTTAATACAGTTCCTCATGTGGTGGTGACCCCCAATTTCATTGTGACAAATTGAACACAATTAAAGCATAGTGATTAATCACAAAAACAATATGTAATTATAGGTGTTTTCTGGTGGTCTTAGGCGGCCCCTGTGAGAGGGCCGTTCGACCCCCAGGTTGAGAACCGCTGGTCTATGGGGTTCTCCCAACTTGGTTGATGAATTTCTCTCACTTTTGTGATAACCGTCACCATGGGACCTGGTGCGTGGCCAGGCCTATGAAGGGACACCCACTGCCTCTGCTCTCATCTTACTCTACCTTTTTCCATGTCAGTCTTGATCTGCTCCTCAAGATCCTCTGGGGACACATAGAAGTCCTCTTCTGGCTCCGATGATTTGGGCCGGCAGTGTCCACAGCAACAGTTACAACAACAGCATAGACAGCAGCAAAAATAGCAGCCGGTCAAGAGGCCAATAATGACAAACAGGGTCTAGGAGAAACAGGAAAAGCAAAATGGGTAAGGGGTAGTGGGGTATGTGAAACTCCAGAAATCAAGTGTGTACTCATTCATGTACCTCCAGAGACCTGAAGACATTGCAGTTCACCCTGCACGCTCATCCTTATTGCATGCAATTTTTTTTCATTTCCTTGGAAACACATTCCACATAGAGTTTTACCTAGTAAGTTAAAACCCAGAGGAAATGTCTTGTAGCCAAAGTAATGATGCATGACATTTTCTTCGTTATTCTTAAGTATGGTGATCATTATTAAGAGTAAACCAAACCAAACAAACCCAACCAACCGACAAGCAAAAAATCTACAGGTCTCATGATCTAACCAAGGGGACAGAATCATTCTCACCAGAGGAGCTATTGATAGCTTCCCCTCCCCCACCCACATTCCTCTTGGTCTCTGCAGACTTTCTCTCCTCAGTATATCTTACCCTCTCCCCTGTCTCTATCCTGGCTGGCAGGGCTTTAGAACAGGTCCTGTTACCTCTGTTTTGGATGTTTCAGTAACATCGTAACTGGCTTCCCTACCTCCTGCTAATCCACCCTATGGGTTGCTGCTGGAGCTTCCTGAAATACATATATTCTCTTGAACCCATGCAGCTACTTCTGCTGCCTCTCAGATAAGGCTGGAGCTACTTATTATGGCCATCTGGCCTTTGCCAACCCTTCTCCTGCACCAGCCTGCGCTGTTCCTGCCATAGCTTTGCTCTCCCTGTGGAATTGTCTGCCTAGATGTACTCACCTAGCCATGTAACAATTACCCACTCCGTGTTTCAGAGTCATCTCAAAGACCCTCTCCCTGACATGTTTTCTGACCACCCCCCCCTTTATACTCCATACAAACTTCCACCACAGTGGTGCTTAAGTGGTTTATACATCTTTGAATCAGAATGCACATTTTTATCTAATAAAAGGAACAAAGGGGATAAAGATCACTGTGTGTGTCTGCAATTCTTCAGTGACTTAAGGTGACTTAAGACTTAGGTTGAGGAACCTCACCTGCCCCATCCTGGCTTCCCAGCCCAGCACTCCATCTATCTGACTCTGTCCCCCGTTGTGGGGTGGCTTGGAGTGAGGGAGTTGTGGGGTGGCTTGGAGTGAGGGAGCTTTAGTTACACCCTCACACCTACCATCTTTTTGCTCTTAATACTCTACATTTTCATAGACTTAGGTAAATTACTCTAAAAATAAAACTGCAGCCCAGCTGGCGTGGCTCCTTGGTTGAATATCTACCTATGAATCAGGAGGTCATGGTTCAATTCCCAGTCAGGGCAATGCCTGGGTTGTGGGTTTGGTTTCCAGTGTGGGGCAAGCAGGAGGCAGCTGATCAATGATTCTCTCTTATCATTGGTGTTTCTATCTCTTTTTCTCTCTCCCTTCCTCTCTGAAATCAATAAAAATATATTTTGAAAAAACAAACCTGCAAAACCTTCCTCCTCGACAACTGCCTCTAAGACCCTCCTGTGCAGTTCTCTTGAGTCATTGCCCCAACAAGCTCCTCCTTTCATCCTTTTAAAACTTTTTACTGTGCAATTGCCAGATTTTCCACTTCTCTGAAAATTTTCTTTAATTCATATACTGTTTTGTTCTTTAGCTGTTTCAAACTAGATTGTTTGTCTTGTCTTATCCCTTCCAGTGCATAGCACAGTACTAGGTGCAAGTAGGCGTCCAATGTTTTTAAGATGAATATTTCAGTAGTACAGATTTATTCATACAGTGCATACTTAATACATGGTCACTGTGTGCCAGGCCACTCTCATGGGCACTGTGCAAGTAGGCTTTGGCACAAGCAGAAGGGGAAGGTAGAATTTTTTGTAGCCCTATTTTTATTTATTTTTTTTTGTAGCCCTATTTTTAAAAAGCCACATCAAAAATTACTTTATATACCGCTTATACTACTAGACATCTGCTTGTCTATGAATTTTGATCAATTTTGTCAACTTCCTGAGCAAAGAAACCTATTCTCATTTTTATGCAGGTGGGCTCCCATATGCAATCAGATGCTAGTGTGCAAATAATCTAGAACTACAGATGGGCCTTCCTATGGGAGAAGTGTCATGCCTGGAGGTTAGGTCCCCGGGCAAGCCCACAAAAAGCCCATACTGTTATATGAATGTTTAATCTATCATCAGAAATGACATTGTCAGTAAGTACACTCTCATTCCAAGTTCCAGATCTACTTGGCAATTGTCTCCCTCCCAAGTTCAACAATAGAGAAAGGGGGTCTTAGTGGGAATCCTAGTTATCCCCAAGAAAAGGAAGTATGGGACTGCAGGAGGCAAATGAGGCTTGAAGTTGCAGACTCTCTCCATGCTTGTGTACAAAAACATTCTCTTCCTGCATATATAAAACTCTTCAATTTAGCAATATTTATTTTAGTGGGAGAAAGTAGCAATCAGAATACCACAGAACATGCCTTTTTGGAAATTGGCAGCTTTATAAATTATTAATTACAACTCATGAATGTAAGTTCATATGATTTCACAAAATGTGTGAACTGCTCACATGTATGTGAATTGTCCAATAATATGCTGGTGGTCTATATATATGTTCATATGCAAATACATTTTTATCAGAAGATATTAAAACTCATAAACAAATATAAAACCATCACCAAACATACATATAGTAGGGATTCCTAGGAAACTGCACAAAATTACTGTCAAAAATCAGTTCTGATTGCACTAAGTCCTTTAAAATGTTGCCTTTCTTGACCAGATGTCTTTTTTCTCTCCTTCCTTCTCTCTGTCTCTCCAACTCCCTCTCCTCCACTACTTAATGTCCCCCTTCCCCCCAAATTTCCTTTACTACCTCACCACAGGCTCCACGTGAGCCCATGACATCATTACCACATACTCCCCCAAGTATTGTGTTTGCTGATGTATTCTGTGCTATGAATAGTAAAGTACATGGCTAAATTTGTTAATAATAATTTATTGGGCAGTCGTCACACTAATAAATTATTTTCCGTTTTGAGCAATGAGTTAGTTCTTAATTAGTCACTATGGAGGAGGAGAAGGCAGTCAGAATTAACCTGAAGCTTCAAATGCAAATATAATTAATGTCTGGAAGTATTTTAAGTCGTGCTGTATATTACAATCATTTGATGAACTAAAGCAAAAACAATCCTCAAATAACAATTTTCCATCAAAGCTATATCTCCTTTTATTTACAAGAGTTTAATAATATATAAGGTTAGGCTTTCTTTGAAATCGAGTCTAAAAGCGTGAATAATATCATGATCTAACAGGAAATTGGTTCTGAAGGGGAAAAAAAAATAGGATTCACCTTTGCCCACCAACTTGACAGCATAAAGTAGGTATTAACATTCTCATCTCCAAATTGCTCGGCCACATAGAGTCCCAGCGAGCCGTACTTGTCATAGATGATTCTCTTGGACATGTCAGTCAGTATGGTGTGGGCATTGTTGATTTCCTTAAACTTGTCAGCAGCAGCTGGGTCATCTGGGTTCTTGTCTGGATGGTGTTTCAGGGCCAACTTTCTTTTAAAAAAAGTAAGGGAAATGTCATTTGACAAGAATTACAATGGCATTTTAGAAGGGCACTATTCATTTGTACATCCTTTATAGATCTAATACTATGAAATGAGCCCCAGCTGGTGTGGTTCAGTGGATAGAGCGTCGGTCGGCTTGTGGACTGAAGGGTCCCAGGTTCTATTCTGATGTGTCTTTCTCTCACATCGGTGTCTCTCTCACATCAATGTTTCTCTCTATTCTCCCTCTCCCTCCCACTCTCTCTAAAAATCAATGGGAAAAAATATCCTTGGGTGAGGATTAAAAAAATAAATACTGTGAAATTATAATGTTGATTTAACTGAGCAGGTGCTAATTAAATGTCTCTTGTTTCTAATGTGCAGGTACAATAGTATTGTTTCTCCTCTCATATCCTCAAAGGGATTCTCAAATGCATGGTTGTTGGGGCTGAGACATCTTGCTGTTGGCAAATATTTGAAGTTTATTATTACCTAGAAGCTGATCAGTACCCCACCTCAACATGCAAATGCATGGGACTGTAAGAGCAACAGGACCAGTTTACACCAAAAATTTCATTTACAACTCGAAGAATTTTCCAGAATTAACAAATCTACACATCACATATTCTAAAAGTTAAATTCACCTATCAAACATTTTTCTAATTTATATTTCCTTAAATAGATACATTATAACCCCTTCAACAAATCTTCCACAAATCCCTTTTGTTTTTCTGAATAAATACTGTGACTTCCCTTGTATTCAAATGTATATTTTACCTCTTTTCAAATAGGTCTTTCCACTTCAAATAATCCATAGAAATTTCCTTGTGAGTAAAAGGCCCTATCTCTGTGGACCATAAAGTAGTTTGTAAAGGGTGTGAGTATGCATTGTGCTGTTGTGCTGCCTAGTGTGTGTATGTGGCGGGTGGGGGGGGGGGGGGCTGATTGGAAATGTTTTTTTATCTTCAGTTATACTCAAGTACAAATAAAACTGTAAAATAGATGTAAGAAGTGAGCTTTGTAATAGTCAGGCTCTGGCTGGTAGCCCTCTCCAGAGAGATTTAAATATTGATTAAAGACATGTATAGAATTGAGTCTATAGTAGTTTTTCCAATACAGAGTCAATTTTATGACTCTCTACTGGAAAGTCCACATGACTTATTCTCCCTACTGTGCCTATCATAGGTATATGTAGGAATACACCATATGGTTTTGTTTATTTTATCACTTTTAGAGTAAATTGTTTTTATTTTAATGCAATAATAAGGGCAGAAAAGTAAAGTATATCTTATAAAGCAAGCTATATAGTAAGTAGGGGACTTACTACTTTATTTTATGAATGAAAGTATTGTTGGGTTAGGAAGTAAGAGAATAATAAAGTAGCTCAGTGTTAGGATGCTTAAAAAGTACCAAAATATTTAAAAGTACAAATCTTGGTATGTAATCCATTCTAGCTTTGACCTCAGGATAAACAAAAAGAATAAAACAATGATGGTTCATTGTAAATTTGATAAACCAAAACATTTTTCATCTTTTTGAGAGATGTTTGGGTTATCTAGAAATTCTTATAGATGGAACCATTGAAGACATTTTTATGTGCAGAATTTATTATGAGATCTTGTGCTAATAGCACAAAATTCCTATTTTGTCATTTTTAAAAACTTTTATATTTACTATATGCCAGCACTATTGTAAGGATGTTATAAATATTAGTTCACTATTATTCACTAAACTTTATGAGATAGGTATTATAATTTCATTTAACAAATGAAGAAATTTAGCCAACAAAAAGTTAAGTAACTTACCCAATGTCACACAGCTAACAATTAGAGCCAGGCTTTGAACACAGGCAATCTAACCCTGAGCACATGCTCTCAATCACCAATATGCTGCCTCCTATATATGTTTAAACTTAAGAAAGTAAGGCACACAGAATGTTATTAGGCCATTGTAAGGACTTGGCTCTTGGTCTAATTAATGTGGGAAACCATTGGAGTGTTTTGAGAAGGAGAGTGGTATGATCTGATTTTAGTTTCAGAAGAACCATCAAATCTTGGAGAGGACAAAGGTGAAAGCAGGGAGACTCTTATAGAAGTTTATAGTGATTCAGACCAGTGTGGTAGTGTAGAGGATGTAATGAGAAATGGTTGGATTCTGGATATATTTTGAAGAGTAGCTGGATTGGATGTGAAATGTGAAAGAAAAAGAGGACCTAGGGATGAACCAAAAATTTGGCCTGAGCAATGGGAAATTTAGGGTTACTGTTAACGGGTTGGCAAGAAATTTTTTTGTAGGAGGAAATGGTTTGCTAGGATTTGGAATTCTCTTTTGGACACCTCTGAGATGCCTATTAGACTTCCAAGTGGAGATGGAGGTAGAGAGATCTATGAGCCTGGAGATCACATGAGAATTATGGGACATGTATGTTTGGGAGTTCTCAGCGGATAGATAGTATTTAGAGTCATGGAACGGGAAAAGATTCCCAAGAGAGTAGGTCCAACAGAAGTCCAAAGACTGAACTATAGGAAGGAGGAACCAGCAAAGGAGATGACAAAAAGAAAGACTAACTTGTAGAAGGAAAAAATCCAGAGAATATGGGATCTTGGGGTCCAGGTGAGCAAAGGATTTGAAGAAGGTCAGATGTGTCAAATGCTATTGACAGGTTAGGTATGATGAGGATTAAGAATTGATCACTGGGTTTAGTTATGTAGAAATCTTTAGTGACTTTGACATGCACCCCCCCACACACACATAAACATATGCATCTATATACAAACACAATCTATATCTATATATCCATATCTATCCATATCCATATATATATATGATATATATGCATCATTACTTTGGCTACATATATAAGTAGCCTAAGTGACCAAATGGCCGAACGACTGGTTGACCGGTTGTTATGACATGCACTGACCACCAGGAAACAGACACTCAACACAGGAACTGTCCCCTGGTGGTCAGTGAACTCCCACAGCCAACCTCCTGCGGTCCCTCCCCCCAGCAAGATGGCCCTGATCACTGGCCCTGATCACCTGCCAGACCGAGGGACCCCACCCATGCACGAATTCATGCACCAGGCCTCTAGTTGTGTATAAGTCTTTATATAGGGAAAAATAAAGCATAAAAATAGGCTCCTGGGATCTTTTCATTAACTCTGGCTTTCTTAGAAAAGAAAGAAAAATGGAAGGTTATATCTATAAGGACAATTAACTGGGTTTATAGATGTACATTGGGATTATAGGTGATTCTGTGTTTTGTTTTTTGTTTTAATAGCTGAAGGTTTAGAGTTTGTTCCCTTAAATGGCTCATGACAAATTAGAAGGGGGAAAAGGAAGAAAAAGTCCTCCAACTTCCATGATACAACATTCATCATCAAAAAACCTCATGTGGATTCTCTAAGCACATTAATTTTAATGGCTCAATATTCCTGGAATTCTCACTCTGTGCCCTGGAATACAATTGCAGCATTTTCCCTACTAGTTCCAGAGATCATGTCCAGACCAGTCAAATGCAAGAGCTGTTAACTTCTGCTTAGAAACAAAGAAATTCCTGGAGAAATGGCTCTTTACATGCATTTCTTTGTTTCTGGTATTCAGTTGTAGACTGATACACACCGCCCAAGAGTTGGCCAGAGAAGCCTGGCTTCCTGTCATATTTTAAGCTGCTTGGATCATTGTCAGCTCACAAGGGCAGATGCTCTCAACCATTTATCACATTCCTCTAACAATGGAGTTGGCAAAGTCAGAGAGCTGGAACACCTCCATTTGTAACAAGTCCAATTCTTGGTTGCCAGCAGCATTTTGACTCCTCTTGGCAGATACTCCTGGCTCTGAGGAATCCTCTGGAAATATGGCTAGCAGAGACAGCTGCCAAAATTACACAGTTGCTCAAGGAAATAGTTGATCAGTGACCCACCCCCTTAGGAATTGTCTATGGAGCAAGAAATGTGTAGAATTTAAGGTTGAAAGGAAGTGCTTGGAGTACATTTAAATGTACCTTTACTCACTTGTTTTAAATGTATTTCTTATAATTTCTAATTTTATACTTAAAAGTGACATCATATTAAATCAGAGCTTGTAATTCTAAATCTCTCTCTCCCATTAGTCACTTGTTAAACTGGTATAGCTATAACTAATATTAGAAGTAGCAACAATGCCTTTAATATCTACTTCAAAACCCAATGACAGCTATAAACTGAAATGCATAGTGAATTCAGTGAATTACAGCTAAGCCAAACATAAGTTTATAGTTGCGATTTCCTAAGGCGCCTAAGAGCTATCTATTTTGAGGCAGTGGAATAATTCTAAGAATTGTCATGTTCCTCCCAGTTCTCTTTCTTACACCACCTAACACTCAGGTGAGATCTACCTACTAGTCTACCAGTTTCTGAGTCACCTAAGACTTGATTCTGACCATGTTGCTCTAGCTCTAGTCCAAATCTATCTCCATGGGATTGGAATGTCAGGTTTTTCCTCTTTGATTTTCTGCAGTTTTTATGTGATGTGCTTGGGTATAATTTTTTTTTATTCTGCTTAGCTTTTACTGGGCTTCTGGTATTTAGGGATTGATATCATTCACAAACCTGGGAAGTTCACATATATTATGCTTTCAAATGGCGTTCTCCTTAATTCTCTTTCTACTCTCCTTTCAGACTCCAATTGCATTTATCGAAGGCCATGTTAATGGATCCTTTATATATTTTATCTTTCTTGCATTGTTTCCTCTCCTTTTCTAATTCTTTCTGGCTATTTTTTCTGACCTATCTTCCAGGCAGTTCTCTAATCTGTTAAACTGTACCTTTGAGTCCTTGATTTTGGTCATTGTATCTTTTAGTTATAAAATTTATCTGTTTATTTTAAAAATCTGAAATATTTTTCATAATTTTCAGTTCTCTCTGAAAATTCTCATTGTTGTAATTTATCTTTCCTGATCCTGATAGTTATTTTTAAATCTATATCTGATCATTTTAATACCTGAGGTTTCCACAGTTCTGTTTCTACT